AGGTACATTGAAGACAAAGTTGGCAAAACCCTCCATGACATTGAGGCTAATGGTATTTTCAAAGATGCCACGCCACTGGCCGAGCAAGTAAAAACAGAGATAGATAAATGGAACTATCTTAAACAAAGAAGCTTCTGCACCTCCAAAGAAACAGTGACCAAAATACAAAGACAGTCTACAGAATGGGAAAGGATATTCACCGAATACACATCTGCCAAGGGGTTGACATCAAGGATATACAAAGTACTGGTTGAACTCCACAGAAAGAAAACATCCAACCCCATCCAAAAATGGGGCAATGAAATGAACAGAAACTTTCTCAAAGAAGAAATCCGAATGGCAAAAAAGCACATGAGAAAATGCTCTACATCATTAATCATCAGGGAGATGCAGATCAAAACCACAATGAGATACCATCTCACACCTCAGAGACTGGCCCACATTCAAAAGAACAAAAAGCAACCGATGCTGGCGTGGATGTGGCGAGAAAGGGACACTCCTTCACTGTTGGTGGGAATGCCAACTAGTTCAGCCCTTTTGAAAAATAGTATGGACGTTTCTCAAAAAATTAGAAATTGAGCTCCCATTTGACCCAGCAATATCACTCCTGGGAATATACCCCAGAGAGGCAAAAATGTGTAGTCGAAGTGACATCTGCACTTGTTTGTTCATTGCAGCACTCTTTACAATAGCCAGAAACTGGAAGAAACCTGAGTGCCCAAGAACAGATGACTGGTTAAAGAAACTTTGGTACATCCACACAATGGAGTACTATGTAGCTCTTAGAAAAGATGAAGTCATGAAATTTACATACAAGTGGTACAATATGGAAAGTATCATGCTAAGCGAAATGAGTCAGAAAGAGAGGGATAGACATAGAAAGATTGCATTCATCTGGGGGATATAAAGCAACAAAATATGAGATTAATACCCAAGAATAGCTGAGATCAACACCAGGAGGATTACTCCATAGCTTAGAGGCCAGCCGGGTATTCTAGGGGAAAGGGCAGTTCAGATAGAGCAGGGAGCACCAAATAAAGGGTGTTTGGAGGATCCTCCCAGGAGGGGAAATGCATGTTGAAAGTAGACTATGGACTGAACATGTTTGCCACTCAATGCCTCTTTTGCAGACCACAACACCCAAAAGGAGAGAGAGAGAGCAAAAGGGAATGCCCTGCCACAGAGGCAGGGTGGGGAGGGGGGGGGGGGATATTATCCATGGTGGTGGAAAATGGGCACTGGTGGAGGGATGGGTATTTGATCATTGTATAATCGAAACCCAAGCACAAAGATTTGTAAATCTACAACTGTACCTCATGGTGCTTCACTAATAAAATAAAATAAAATAAAATATTAAGTCACAGCATGGTACTGGAACAAAGGCAGAGCCGCAGACCAATGGAACATGGTTGAATATACTGACCCCCCAAACATATGATCATCTAATTTTTGATAAGGGAGCAAGAAATGTGAAGGGTAGCAAGGAAAGCCTCTTTAACAAATTGTGCTGGCAAAACTGGATGGCTACATGCAAAAAAAAAATGGGCTCAGATCTCTACCTAACACCATGTACAAAAGAAAGATCAAAATGGATTAAAGACCTCAACATCAGACCGGAGTCCATAAGGTACATTGAAGACAAGGCTGGCAAAACCCTCCACGACATTGAAGCTAACAGTATCTTCAAAGATGACACGGCACTGGCCAAGCAAATGAAAACAGAGATAGACAAATGGGACTATCTTAAACTAAGAAGCTTCTGCACCTCAAAAGAAACAATGACTAAAATACAAAAACACTCTATAGAATGGGAAAGGATATTCACCCAATACCCATCCGACAAGGGGTTGATATCAAGGATATACAAAGCACTGGTTGAACTCCACAAGAAGAAAACATCCAACCCCATCAAAAAATGGGGTGACGAAATGAACAGAAATTTTCTCAAAGAATAATGGCAAAAAGGTACATGAGAAAATGATCTACATAACTAATCATCAGGGAGATACAGATCAAAACAACAATGAGATATCATCTCACACCACAGAGACTAGCCAACATCCAAAAGAACAAAAGCAACCGGTGTTGGCGAGGATGTGAAGAGAAAGGGACCCTCCTTCATTGCTGGTGGGAATGCTGACTGGTTCAGACCTTTTGGAAAACAGTGTGGACAATTCTCAAAAAATTAGAAATTGAGGTCCCATTTGACCCAACAATACCACTCCTGGGAATATATCCCAGAGAGGCAAAAAAGTACAGTCAAAATTACATTTGCACTTCTATGTTCATTGCTGCACTGTTCACAGTGGCCAAAATTTGGAAAAAAAACCCAAGTGCCCAAGAACAGATGACTGGTTAAAGAAACTTTGGTATATCTACACAATGGAATACTATGCAGCTGTTAGAAAAGATGAAGTTATGAAATTTACATACAAGTGGTTCTACATGCAAAGTATCATGCTAAATGAAATGAGCCAGAAAGAGAGGGACAGACATAGAAAGAAAGATTGCATTCATCTGGGGAATATAAAGTAACAGAATGGGAGTCAAACACCCAAGAATAATTGAGATAAGTACCAGGAGGCCTGCTCCAGGGCTTGGAAGTTGGCCTCACATGCTGGGGGGAAAGGTAGCTCAGATAGAGAAGGGAACACCAAGTAAAGGGTGTTTGGAGGAATCACTCGGGATGCAAGATGCGTGCTGAATATAGACTATAGACTGAACACGATAGCCACTCAATACCTCTACTGCAAACTACAATACCCTAAGGGAAAGAGTGAGCAAAAGGGAACGCCCGGCCACAGAGGTGGGGGTGGGTAAGGGGGATGGGGTGCAGGGGTGGGAGGGCTACTGGGATCATTGGTGGTGGAGAATGGGCACTGGTGGAGGGATGGGTACTCAATCATTGTATGACTGAAACCCAAGCACGAAAGTTTGTAAGTTTACAATTGTACCTCATGGTGTTTCATAAATAAATAAACAGATTTCAAAGAAGGTAGTAATAATTTAATTAAGAATTGAAATCTGTTGTGCAAGATTCTTTAGTGATGTCTCTGCTCTCATTCCTGATATCAATTATTGTGATTCTCTGATTCACAAGCCATTTAGTCAGAGTTTTATCAGTTATATTGATCTTTTCAAAGAAGCTTCATTGATTTATTCAACTGTTTGTTTTGTACAATGAGATTTTTATAATTTTTTAAAAATTTTCTTCCTTCTGCTTACTTTGAGTTTCATTGGGTTTTCATTTACTGGGTACTTGCTATTATCTCTACCTCAATCATTTTCCATACTTTGATCTCAGAACCTTTATGTGCTCTTTTAAAAATCGGAGGAGGGGCCAGGGGACGAGTACAAGGGTTAAGGTGCTGCCTTGCTGGGGCCAAGTCCTATTTGATCACTGGCACCAAGTATGGTCTCCTGAGCACCACCAGGGGTCGCCTCTGAGCACAAAGCCAGGAGTAAGACCTGAGCACCACCAAATGTGACCCACTCCTCCCCCACTATTGCCAAAAGTAGGAGGACAAAACCAGAATAATAAGACAGTGAGTAGGGTGCTTGCCTTGCCTGTGGCCAAACCAGGTTCAATTCCAGCACCACGTATGGTCCCCTGAGCACTGCCAGAAAGGATGCTGAGTGTAGAGCAAGGAATAAGCCTGGCTGGGTGTGACCAGCAGTGAGCATTGCTGGGTGTGACCAAACAAACAAACAAAATAGGAGGATACTGAGGAGCTTGCGTGTTTCTTCATCCTGTGTACTTTAAACACTGCATTAGAAATTTCAGCTTATCATTCTGACACACAGGATCAATCACTTACATTATTCATCATGAGAGATGTGATCACACATCACATTATAATCGCTAAGAGAACACGACTATAAATTTGGGAGAAACACAAAGTAAAAGGGGCCAATAAGAAATGTTTTTCACTGAAATATTTTTCACCTCATGTTCCCTCTGAGCGAGCAGGAATCTGATTTCCGTGCCTCGACCTCCCCTTTCTGTGTAAGTTCTGTGATCTCTTCCTGATAGCTGCTTTTTTCCCTCTCCCCACTTTGCCCAACTAACTATGCGACAAACTCTCCCGTGGTGTGTTTAGCATGACATCAACACAGAGTCTGCAGGAATCCTCTCGCCTAGCTCTAACGTTCTGATAGATAGTTCCTCACTGTTACTCTGCCTACACAATCTCATCGGCCACAGAAATCCCTGACCCCCGTCTCTATCTGCCATGGACAGACCATCTTGTGGACTGCAGCCCCTTGCCCTATAGTACAGGGAGGATTTCCGGAGCCAAGATTACCAGGATAATTGTCTCATTGGCTGAATTCATTTCCTGTGCTGTCTATCATGTGAAAACAGTTTTTCCCTTGGCTGATGTTCTCAGATCTGGTCGATTGTTGTTTCATCTGTTCACTTTTTCTGCATGGATCTACGTACTTCCTAGTTCTCAGCTGTCTCTCTGCTTTTGTTTTGCATGTTGAAAACTCAAATCTCTGAAGAGCATCAGAGGTCACTATATACTGGACCTGCACACACGGGCAGGTCTGGTATATGCACGAGCACATACAACTGTGCCAGATTCATGCAACTATCATTGCTGGGTGGCAAACACAAATTTGACTGACATGTTCGAAGTTGAATAATCAATTTCATAGTTGAAAACCTTCCTTACTCTTTACCTCGCAGGTGCTTTGGAGTGATCCTGTTTATAAGCCTTTGATTATTTGTTCTCTTGAACCTCTCACGAGTGTGACCTCAATATCTCCATGTATTTACCCACTCTCCAGTTCCGCAAAACAACTTCCAAAAGACAGAGAATTTCTAACTTTTACTATTTTTTAGACCTTTGGTCCAAAAGCAAAGGGCCTGAGATGTTTTGCTTCGAATTCTGGAGCCATGATAAATCTATACTAAAAAGTTAGCTTCAATGTATAGTCCTGTCACCAGGAACCAGAGCTGGTTTATGAAGCACTTGGAGCAAACATCAAAGACATACGCATCTGGGTAGTTCTCTGGGGTCTTCTTGTGCAGGTGTGGTGTCATTGAGGACCAAGGCTGGCATTTCTTCCCAGTGATGGTGATGGAAGATGTGCCTCGGTAGGTCTGTCCGTTGCCCCAGTAACACTCCTGGACCACAGGTGTTTGCTCAGGTGGTACTGAAATTGACACAGGAGACATAAAAAGAAACTGAGAAATTCAAACCAAATAAATTTAAAAAATACAGAACTGAACACATGTCAACCTGTCTGAATCAAGCTGCTAAAGAAAATTTGTGAGAGCCAGAGTGAAAAAGAATAGTCAATGTGAAAGAACTAAGGTAAGATTCCCGGACAGAAATTATTCAAAAGTGAAGAGATAATTCATTGTGTAAATGTGTAGCCTTCATTCTATGAAAAACTAATTTGCACCAAAAGCTTTCTCAAACACATTTGTGAATTTTCAAGCAAAATTCCTTGGATCCAGGATCCTCAGCATATGCTCATAATTGATACAAAGACCAGTTGAGTTATTTTTAAATACACTATTTCTGAGGGCATGGACACAGCCTAGAGGGCTGAGCATGTGCTTTGCTAGTTTGATACCCACATTGTTCCCCAAGCACCACTAGGGGTATCCCCAAGCACTAAGCCAGGAGTAGCCCTTGAGGACTGCTAAGAATTGCACTAAAGGAAACAAAAATTCATTGTTGATTATAAATTTGCTCGAGCGGGCCCAGTAACGTCTCCATTGGAGACTTTGTTGTTACTGTGTTTGGCATATCGAATACTCTCGGTAGCTTGCCGGGCTCTCCGAGAGGGGCGGAGGAATCGAACTCGGGTCGGCCATGTTGGCCGCTTGTAAGGCGAACGCCCTACCCGCTGTGCTATCGCTCCAGCCCTTATTAATTACATAGAATCAGTTATCTTTGGAAAAATAAGATAACTAGTATCTTTAAAGTGGAGAAGAAAAGAAGAGAAAATATCCTCCTAGGAATCCATACCCAACGCAGTTATTTTTTTAAGGGTTATTTTTTCATTTTGCATTGTTTGGGGGGCATACGTGGCAGTGCTCTAAGGCTAATTCTGTAGGCTACATAACGGGAATTTATGCAGTACATGTGAAACACATTCCTCCTGTGTGCACAGAAAGCACTCAGCCCATTGAGTGACATTTTCAACCTTGGGATTTTTTTTTTTTTAGGTAGAGGCCAAATAAAGATATCTTCAGACTATAAAATCTGAAGAACTTCACCGTCAGTAGACCTTTGCTATAGGAACAGTCAATGGTCACTTTTTTAAATAAAAGGATTGTGACATAAGAAGAAAACTTGAATCCACACAAATATGGAGAACTAGATATGATAGTATGCAGAAAAACATACAGACGTAAAATAAGAATGCTGGGGCCTGAGTGATATTACGGTGAGTAGAGCATTTGCCTTTCATGAAGCTGACTTGGGTTTGATCCCCGGCATCCCTGCCCACCAGGACTAATTTCTAAGTGCAGAATCAGGGGTAACCCCTGAATATGCCAGTGTGGCTTGAAAGACAAATATATATATATATATATATATATATATATATATATATATATATACACACACAGCGGGTAGGGCTTTCGCCTTACACGCAGCCAACATGGCCCACCCGAGTTCGATTCCTCCACCCCTCTCGGAGAGCCCGGCAAGCTACCGAGAGTATTCGATATGCCAGACACAGTAACAACAAAGTCTCCAATGGAGACGTTACTGGGCCCGCTTGAGCAAATCGACGATCAACGGGAGGGCCTTTACCTTATATCTTATATATGAATATGATTTATTTATAATAACTTAAAATGCGCGGTACTTATACGGAAGTACGTGCAGAGCAATGCCGAGGTTGTGACTGACCGAACTTAAAATGTGACTGTTCAGGAGGAAGATGAAAATATGTTTTGAGAAAATAAGATGAAAGAAAAAAGCGCTGGATTGGGGAGACAACTCAAAAACCAAACAGGAACGTTGGATTCAATTCCTTGCATTACATGTTTCCCTCAGAATCATTGTTCATATTCCCCCCCCCCCAAAAAGCTCTTTGAGCATATTAGTATTGAATTTGGGGGGGGGTATCTGTTTTGTTGGATTTCTTTTTTATTTTGCTTTCTAGACTACATTCAGTGATGCTCAGGGGTTACTTTTGCACTCAGAATTCTCCTGGCGGTGCTCAGCGGACCACATTGGATGCCAGGGATTGAACCCAGGTCAGCTGTGTGCAAGGCAAATGCCATTCCCACTGTGATATTGCTCTGGCTCTAGTACAGCATTTTGGATAAGGATTTTGCTGTCCTAAATTTCTTACACTGCATAGCAAGTGAAATAATGTTTTTATCTAATTTTCAAAAAAAAATTGTATTGAATCACCGTGAGATAGTTACAAGCTTTCATGTTTGGGTTACAATCACACAATGATCAAACACCCATCCCTCCATGAGTGCACATTCACCACTACTAATATCCCCAGTATACCCCCTTTCCCACCCTCCCCCTGCCTCCATGGCAGGCTTTATTCCCCATAATCTCTCTCTACTTTTGGGCATTATGGTTTGCAATACAGACACTGAGAGGTTATCATGTTTGGTCCTTTATCTGCTTTCTGCACGCATCTCCCATCCTGACAGATTTCTTCAGTCATCATCATCTTAGTGATCCCTACTCTATTCCAGCTGCCTTCTCCCCTTTTCTCATGAGGCAGGCTTACAGCTATGGAGCAATCTATCTGTCCTGTGTATCTACTAGCAAGTGAAATAATGTTATTTGAAACAGAAAGTTTGCTTAGAGATAGAAGTGGGAGCTATAAAGATAGTATAAAGATTAGCATGCATGTTTCACATGTTCCTGAACTGGGTTCAATCCCCAGTACCACCTAGTCTCTTGGGCATTGCTGAATATAAACCTGGAGTTCCCTGAGCACTTCCAGGCATGGTCGCGAAGTGGTCAGAGCACCAGGGGTGGCCCTGGTGGTCTCTGCTACCACATGGCATAAGTACATTCTCAGGCCTACCACTCAACTGCCAGCCCAGCCGGCTGAGTTGTACTGGAATGGTTGCTAAGTTCCCTTGAGAACTTCTTGGCATCCCCTCAAAACAGAGAAAAATAATGTAAATATGGGGGGGAGGGGAGGAGCACAATAAAACTGGTTTAACTAATAAACAAAGAAAAGGTCAGCAAATGGGAGCCGAAAGCTCTCAATAAATGAAACGAAGGCAGAAAAAAATCAAATAGGCAAATAACAAAAACTAATAACTTAAATACATTAACAATTTTACTAAACATAAATGGGCCAGATAGCACAACTAAAGACTGAGAAAACCCCAAGAACTTGCAAACACTAGTGAGAATAGAGGTGCAAGTGTTGTTTTCCTGTCTATAAAGGTTGGCATCAGAACAAGGAACAGACACTTCCAGAGGTAAGGAGCCAGAAGACAGGAGGAAGAAAGATTTTCCTTCCAGATGATAAAACAGTCCTAACTGTGCCTTCATCTAACAAAATGACCCAAAATATAAAGCCAACACAAACCAAAAAGAACCCACAGATCACACTGGCTCCATCGCTCCCCATCTCAGGAACTGACAGAACAGGTGTTAGAAAACCAGGTTGGATTCAGAAGAGTTAAATTGTAGAAACCAGGAGAGACCTAAAGAACCTTCCAGGGACAATCCACAGACCACAGCAGATTCCTCCCAGCAATGTGCTTTAAGGTGACCACACTCCGATCCATAAAACTAATGTCCATTCACTTCAAGGAAATAAAGTCAGTGAGCAGATATTGGGACAGAACAGACTTTATGGATAGAAAAACCTGCTGCAAAGGGTCAGACATAGAGGACAAAAATAAGAACAGTGTCGATGCTGGCATGGATGTGGCGAGAAAGGGACACTCCTTCACTGCTGGTGGGAATGCCGACTGGTTCAGCCCTTTTGGAAAACAGTATGGACGATCCTCAAAAAATTAGAAATTGAGGTCCCATTTGACCCAGCAATACCACTTCTGGGAATATATCCCAGAGAGGCAAAAAATATAGTCGAAGTGACATCTGCACTTGTTTGTTCATTGCAGCACTCTTTACAATAGCCAGAATCTGGAAAAAACCTGAGTGCCCAAGAACAGATGACTGGTTAAAGAAACTATGGTACATCTACACAATGGAGTACTACGTAGCTGTTAGAAAAGATGAAGTTATGAAATTTACATACAAGTGGTACTACATGGAAAGTATCATGCTAAGTGAAATGAGTCAGAAAGAGAGGGATAGACATAAAAAGATTGCATTCATCTGGGGGACATACAGTAACAAAATAGGAGATTAATACCCAAGAATAGCTGAGATCAGTACCAGGAGGATTACTCCATGGCTTAGAGGCCAGCCGGGCATTCTAGGGGAAAGGGAAGCTCAGAGAGAGAAGGGAACACCTAATAAAGGGTGCTTGGAGGATCCTCCCAGGATGGGAGATGCATGTTGAAAGTAGACTATGGACCGAACATGATTGCCACTCAATGCCTCTTTTGCAGACCACAACACCCAAAAGGAGAGAGAGAACAAGGGGGAATGCCCTGCCACAGAGGCAGGGTGGGATGTGGGAGATGGGGGTGGGAGGGATACTGGGATCAGTGCTGGTGGAAAATGGGCACTGGTGGAGGGATGGGTATTTGATCATTGTATAATCAAAACCCAAGCACAAAACTTTGTAAATCTTCAACTGTACTTCATGGTGTTTCACTAATAAAAATTTAAAAAAAAAAAAGGACAGTGTCTGGTCCCCCAGGAGCTCTCATTCCTCTTCTCACCTGGGGTGTCCTCTTGTTCTGTGGAAGATATTGAGGACCCACAGGATGGAATCTTACAGAATTCCGACCTCACCGAGCTGTTGGTTGTGTAGCACCATGGGGCCGCCTCTCCATCTGGGTTACGACAGTAATTTTCAACCAAATCTCTGAAAAAGAAGCAATGGTAAGTATGACTTTCCAAAATAAGGCTAACTGTGTAAGCATGGCTTGTGTTCATTTGTTTTTATGTTAACACCCAGTATTGTTTATCTATTTGATCACGATATGGACATGCTGCTGCATTTGTATTAACCATGGTGTCAGCTTGGATATATAGCCAACCTTTGTACTGACTCACAAGTGCAAATGTAGCAGAGTACGACTACAACAAGTTTCACAGATTTATGACATAGAAGCTTCTTCATGGATAAATGTCTCAAATTTGTTTCTTGACTGTTGAATGGTCAGGAAAATGGATCTTATGCTGGGGATTTTGTTGGAAACACAGTGGATATTGTGTCTTCTGGCCTCAAAGTGTGTACGACCCTTCCAGGGAAAGGTTCCAATCCTAAAAGTTAGGTGCCCCTGAACTTTAGTTTGCATTTAGTAGAAGGCTTATCAAAACAGAGCTGGGACCCACTCCCAGAAACTTAGACTGAGAAGGTCAGGCACAAGAATTTACATTTTTACCCAATGCCTGGAGCGATAGCAAAAGTGGGTTGGGTGTTTTCCTTGCATGCGGCCAAACCGGGTTCAATTCCTCCATCCCTCTTGGAGAGGCCGGCAAGCAACCCAGAGTATCCCGCCCATACGGCAGAGCCTGGCAAGCTCCCGGTGGCGTATTCGATATGCCAAAAACAGTAACAAGTCTCACAATGGAGACGTTGCTGGTGCCCACTCGAGAAAATTGATGAACAATGGGAGAACAGTGCTACAGTGCTACCCAACGCCTGGAGGTGCTGGACCCTCTGCTGAGAGGAGCGTCCCCTGAGAGAGAAAGGTAGAGACCGAGTTTCTCTTCCCTTCCTAAGGCTTGACTCATCTTCATTCCCGCAAACCGTCATCCTGGGCTCCTAGAGAGATTGACCAAAGGCAACCTCCAGGATTTCCCATTCTCCCATGGTAGATGTGACTGAGAGTAGAAAACACTCACCTGCAGGGAAAGTTTTCTGGGGTCCTGTCGTGCTTGTGAGGGGTCTGTTCACTCCAGCGCTGGCAGGGATACCCAGATACGGTGACGGCCACCTTCCCACGGTAGCTTTCACCCCTTCCCTTCAGGCACTGATACGTGGGGCCAGAAGGTGGAGGAGGTGTGACTTGAAGGGGAGAAATAAGTGAAACCGAATATTTATTCTTGAATAAAAGATGCCCAGTAGGGTGATCTCAGGAGATATGTGCAGTTGCTTCTGCCTCTCTTCTTTCTGTGTCAACTGGGCACATGAAAACTGCTTCTCATATTCAGAAGAGGTTGAGTTACTAGAATGTCTGTCCACCAGATCATTTCATGAGGAACTCCCCCAAATACGCTTTGCCTACTTGGATAGATCCTTGGAGTAGACACCTCTTACAATGTTTTTTCCTTTTTCTTAATTGATGTAACTGGTAAGGTTAAAAATCCTTACATACACCATTGATTTAGCTTCCTTTGTAAAAAATAAATAACTCAAGGGTGAAAACAATTGAATGGCCTCCAATGTTCCATAACACCAAACAAGAAGCAAAAGAGAGATTATGGAAACAGGGCCAAAAATGTTTCTAAGGAAAAGCAGGAGCATGTAGGAAGAAAAATGTTCAAAGGAAATAAAACATATGAGGAAAAGAGACCAGTATTGTATAAGAGGGAGACTCGTGTCCCCAAGTATTACTGTCAATGGACCACAAAGCAGGAAGCCAACCCAGGGCCTGCAGAGTCCATTCAAATTTGTGATCACTGGCTTTGTCAAAATCATTAGTTACTGCTTCAAGTTCTTGGAGAAGGAAAAATTGTCCAAAGTTTTCCTCCAAGTACTTCCTCCTAACTGTGCTATTTCCTCTCCTCTCCCACTAGCTCCCTGGACATTCTGAAATGCTAGGTTCCCAGACACCTTTGGGCTTACAAACAACTCTTAGGAAGGAACTCTCGTTGGTATCAAAATCCACCTACCCCAGAGCAGAGGTTTTATTTCCCTTTTACAGTAGGAAGAAGTGTGACATCAGAGAGACTCCCTTGAGCCTACCTTCAGTGCCATGCAGAAAAGTAAGGCAAAAGTCCCCACAGGAAAAACAGAAAGAAAAAGAGACACCAACAAACAAAAAACCCACATGAGAAAGAGCAATAAAATTAAGAGCAATCACATCCACAGGTGTAGAAGGTAAGCCTGAGGCTCAGCACGCAGACCCTGATGTTGTTTGTTTCTGCACTCTGAGAACAAAGGAGATCAGGACCCTTGAGAACCATGCATGAGCCCCACTTACGGCAGCGTGGGATGTCACAGAAGTCCCAGCGTTTTCTGGTGTCATTGGTGAAGCACCAGGGACGGGGCTCCCCATCAGGGTTACGACAGTAATTCTTCTCCAAGTTCTTGTTTGGAAATCTGGATGGACAAGAAAGCAACAACATGGAGTCTACACATTTAGGAAAAGAAAACGTTTCAAGTGAGTAAGCCTGAAGGACCAGCTGGACGTTAGACAGGGACCTTACAAGAAGACTGGATGAAGCAAGGATGTCGCCTCAAGAGAAAGTTTACATACTCAATCTGCAAAACTCACTGAACAGGATTAGTTACTTTCTCATTTGGGACGGCTGGAAAACCTATGCAAAGAAACTCGTTACTCAGTTGCAGATAATAGCAATTCTAAACACAAAGTACACACTCTAGATTAGAGACCACTCTAGAGTACAAACAGAAGTTGGCACCTTCAGAGATGAAGGAAATGGTCCATCTGGTCTACCAGGTTCTGGTCTCAGCAGCCTCTTCTCTTGTGGAAACTGGGCTGGACAAACTGTGCTCCTATGAGCACATGACTGAACAGTATGGACCAGTCCCCCCAGCCCCCACCCCTCCACTTCCCTGCCTCAGAAGCCCAGAGGCTAGCACAGGAAGTCACAAACAGTGCCTAGTAGCCTCCGGCTTATTTCACATCCCGCTGTAAATGCTTGGATGCACAGAGAAATCCACAGAGGATCTCTTTAAAAACCACAGCACCCAAAAGGAGAGAGAGAACAAGGGGGAATGCCCTGCCACGGAGGCAGGGTGGGATGGGGGCATGGGGGGTGGGAGGGATACTGGGATCAGTGGTGGTGGAGAATGGGCACTGGTGGAGGGATGGGTACTCGATCATTGTATAACTAAAACCCAAGCACAAAAATCTGAAAGTCTACAACTGTACCTCATGGTGTTTCACTAATAAAAATTAAAACAAAACAAAAAAAACCCTTGCCTTCTCACAGAATGACATCTCTCATAGGTGGGACTTAAAGATCCACAGTAAATAGTAAAGATCCAGAGGCAACACAGCAAGAGAACTATTCCACGTAACTGAGCTGGGGGAGGGGGTTAAAAAGATGGGGCCTTGGAATACTTGGGGGAGGGCAGTGGTGGTGATGGTCTTGGTGTTGGAATTATGTGCATTAGAAACCATCGTTAGCAGTATTGTAAATCACAGAACATCAATAAATTAAAAAGAAGGGGGAAAAGAGCCCTTTGCTTTCTTGTCTTCTGAAAGTAATTTGCCCAATTTCTGTGCTCCAAAAGTTTCCTTTTGAAGGAAAATGGCAATAGTTGGGTTCAATATAGCTGTTTGAAGTGGGAGGTATAGAAATTTAGTGGGTATATTTTCTTTTTTCTAATATATATGTATATATATTTATTGAATCAGTGTGAGATAGACCCTTACAAAGCTGTTCATGATTAGGTTTCATCATACAGTGTCCCAATACCCATCCCTCCACCAGAATACATTTAATGGGTATATTTTCTGCTGAAATCTGTGACTTATTGTTATTTCTTATAAGATCTTATTTATTTATGTAAATAACATATTATTTCTTATAAGCTCGGACGTAATCCTGCTGTCATCATAGAAAGCAGCAGCTATGGTGAAAGGTGTTTTCTAGAATAACTAATGCAAAATAGAAAACCCAGAATACCTTAGTCAAAGAATCACTATTAGAATAAGGTCACTTATTCCTGTTTTATAAGAGTCATAGCTATGCCATAGCTATGTCGTAGTTATGTCAGGGTGACTTACTTGGAAGGGATGTATCCATGACTGTGTGGGCTCTGGGAGTCCCAGTGCTGACACTCGATTCCAGACTTGGTCTTGGAAATTTTGCCCACATAATTTTCTCCACTGCAGAACATACATTCCTCTGTGAAGAATAAAGAAGAAAAGTGAGGAAGTAAGTGAACTGGATGGAGCAACAAAAAATGAAAGCTGAAGTCCCACTGGCATTGTCTCAAAGCCTATTTGCTACTTGTTCACATGTTCTTTCCCAAAATTACTTGACCATAATGTTGATAATAAAAACTTCCATCTCTAATACAACATAAAATTCCATTCTCCATTTCAAACAATATCTTTGGCATATTTTGGTCAATATCCCCCTCAACTGCCTTAGTCATATTAAAATCTATTTTGAACATGTGCTCAAATGCATGTTTGTGCCCTGAGAAGTCAGGGAGGGGAGGTTCGGGAAGAGGGTGAACATAGCCCCAGAGTCTATAAAATCACCACTAGGAATTTAATTTATTTCATTAATGTCTTTCGAATTTTCTATGGCAGAGTCTACTCATATGAATGACTGCAAGTGAGCTGAGCCCTCTAGGACTTTGGTGTTGGCATCAGGGTTTATGTTCATAACGTCAGTGGAGAATAACAGCCTTCAAAGTGACAGTGCTTCCTTTCTGATACTTTTGAGAGGCATGGCTTCCTGGTTTTTCCTTTTCTAAGGAATCTTTATAGGGGTCATGTCTAGTGGTGCTCAGGAGCCACCAGGGCTGTGGTGGGTTGTTCTGGGGATATTCAGCACTGAGGACCAGACTCAGAGTCTCATGCATTTAGGCAGATGCTCAACCACTTGAGTCCCATCCCTGGTTCCCTTTCTGAAATTATTTACAGGCTGAACTTTTGATTTGGCATTGCTAAATTAGCATGGTACCACAATGATATATGACTTTAATTTGTATGGGGTAATAAGGAACTCAGAGGTAGACTGGATACCAAAAAAAAAAAAAAGGTGCTTTCACACCACTTAAGGTATCAAAGGTCACGTAAGACTGGACACTAAAATGCTGTCTCCATGACAAAAATTGATGAATCATTTGTGAGCTGAGCTATCACACGTGCACAGAGCCCCCACATTAGAGTACAACACATCATCCCTCCCTTGCACCAATAAATGTAGCAGGATTTATGAAGTAAAGAAATGGTTTTCTCTATTGTACGTTTTACATTTTAGCATTGACTTTTAAGGAATACTATTGGGCTGTCTGGACCATTAAAATAATGAATTGCAGATTAAAAATTCTCATTGCTTAGCTTAAAGGAAACCATGAAGTCTATGCTATTAAATAAATATTGTTCATTTTAATTGTATTGGTTTTCTGGTTTTATTGGAGCCCTAAAATTGCAAATCTGCCTTGCACTATGTAAGAGCTTTAAATACAAATATTTTGGAGGTTTTATATAGTCCTTTCTGGGTTTTTTATTTGGAGAGGAAAGTTGGTACCATGGAAGAAGTTGGTACTTACCCAGTGGTACTTAGGGATTATTCCTGGGGGTTCTCAAGGGACCATATGCTGTATCTTGAATCTAACCAAGTTAGCTGCTACAGGGCAAATTCCTGAATCCCTCTACTATCTCTGTCCCTACTATCTCTGTCCCTCTCTGGATTTTACATCTCACTTTCTAGTCCTACACTTTGCAGATGTTTGAGTAAAAATTATCCAGGTCCATAATGAACTTTGCATTTGGTTGGTCTCTTCCAAAATAACCAACACCCTCACAGGAAATCACTTTCTGGCGCTCACTTTATGAAACATCATTTTCCAGCAAAATTTTTTACTATAAATTTCTTTGGGGATACAGGGCCGGGACTGTACTTTCTAGAGCCACTACTGACCTTCACATTGGGGAATGTTGCAGTAGTCAAATCTGACATCTGGGTCCGTAGTGTAACACCAGGGTCCCTCATCGTCGTTGTCTGGATTCCTGCAGTAATTCTCCTCCAGGCCCTCAGAAGGATAATTGTCAGGAGAATATCTGTGGAGGGTGGAAGAGAGGTGCTCTATATCCTCCACGAAGAAATGGGATTCCCCATCTGGAGTAGAAGGACATCTCACAGCAGACCAGGGTTCATGTTCAAGCAGCAGTATTCAGGGCTATAAGCCTACAGATTCCTGACATTTTCCAACACCTGTTGGTGTCAGGTTCTTTTTGCTGCCTACTGTCTTGTCTGTGTGGATCACTTAGCTGACATCCACCAAATCTTTCTCATTTAGTCTTACCAAAACTCCTCACAAGAATTTCCTCCCATGTTACAGAGCAGGAAACTGAGGTTGGTTCAGAAATGCAAATCAAAAGGAATCTTGATTGAGTGACATTATATCACATCTCTAGTATTTAAAACTGAATGTGTAATAAAAAATCACTCGTATTAAAAAATCTGTCAACAGCCAGTGTTGGTAGGCTTGTGGTGAAAAAGGATCCCTCATTCACTCTTCTTGGGAATGCCACCTGATTCAGCCTCTATGGAAAGTAATATGGAAATTTTTCCAAAAATAGGACCAAAAGTTCCACATGACCAAACAATACTAGTTCTTAGCATCTATTCTCAAATCACAAAACCATTAATTTGAACGACACAAACACACGTACACACATACCCCTATATCCATAGCCAACATACGGAAACAACCCAAATGCCCCACTACAGATGAATAGATCAATAAGCTATGGTATATATACACAGTGGAATATTATGCAGCTCTAAGAAAGAACAAAAGTGTGCAATTTGCAACAACATGGATGAAACAAGAGAATAAAATTGAGTGAAGTCAGAGAGAAAAAAAAAGGGATCGATACAGGAGCAACCAATGGCCAAAGGCAACACAGTGAGAGAACTGATCCACACAACTGAGTTTGTGTGGGGCAAGGGTATTGAAAAGGAGAGGTTTGGGGGACCTTGGAAGAGGGAGGTGGCTACATTGAAGATTTTTGAGGTGTTGGAAACCATCATTAACCATAAATCACAGAGGCTCAATTGATCAAAAAATTTTAATGGATTCACTAGAGCTGTGGGTTGGAGTGATAGCACAGCAGGTAGGGCGTTTGCCTTACACACAGCCAACATGACTGACCTGAGTTCGATTCTTCCGCCCCTCTCGGAGAGCCCGGCAAGCTACCCAGAGTATCTTGCCCACACGGTAAAGCCTGGCAAGCTACCCGTGACATATTCAGTATGCCAAACACAGTAACAACAAGTCTCACAATTTGTTGTGAGACATTATTGGTGGCCGCTCGAGCAAATTGATGAATAACGGGAGGACAGTGACAGTGACAATTAGAGCTGAACATTCCTGATTCCAATGCAGTGCTCTTAGGATATAGGAGGCAAGGTGGGAAGTTAGCTTATCATTGATTCTAGGGATGAGTTGCTATGCAGAGAGAAGAAATTAAATCCACTAACCATCTGCACTCCTTGGAGTCTATTCCCAGACACAAAACATCAGTTTGAGTCACCTGCCTTGTTGATCTCTAGTGTCATATAGTTCCTTGAGGCCCACCAGGAATGATCCCTGAGCAGCACTAGAGTCAAGAATAAGTGCTTGGACGATTCTCAAAAAATTAGAAATTGAGCTCCCATTTGACCCAGCAATACCACTCCTGGGAATATATCCCAGAGAGGCAAAAATGTATAGTTGAAGTGACATCTGCACTTGTTTGTTCATTGCAGCACTCTTTACAATAGCCAGAAACTGGAAGAAACCTGAATGCCCAAGAACAGATGACTGGTTAAAGAAACTATGGTACATCTACACAATGGAGTACTATGTAGCTGTTAGAAAAGATGAAGTCATGAAATTTACATACAAGTGGTACAACATGGAAAGTATCATGCTAAGCGAAATGAGTCAGAAAGAGAGGGATAGACATAGAAAGATTGCATTCATCTGGGGGATATAAAGTAACAGAATATGAGATTAATACCCAAGAATAGCTGAGATCAGCACCAGGAGGATTACTCCATAACTTAGAGGCCAGCCGGGTATCCTAGAGGAAAGGGCAGTTCAGATAGAGAAGGGAGCACCAAATAAAGGGTGTTTGGAGGATCCTCCCAGGAGGGGAGATGCATGTCGAAAGTAGACTATGGACTGAACATGTTTGCCACTCAATGCCTCTTTTGCAGACCACAACACCCAAAAGGAGAGAGAGAACACAGGGGATTGCCCTGCCACAGAGGCAGGGGGAGATGGGGGGGTGAGGGTGGGGGGATATTATCCATGGTGGTGGAAAATGGGCACAGGTGGAGGGATGGGTATCTGATCATTGTATAATCGAAACCCAAGCACAAAAAATTGTAAATCTACAACTGTACCTCATGGTGTTTCACTAATAAAAAAAAAAAGAAAAGAAAAGAAAAAGAAAAGCTATCATGCATATCACTTTACCTCCTTTCAGCACTAAGTTCGTGTTCAGAGAGATCATTTCCAACTCTGTAACTGTATATCTCATGGCAATGCAATTTTTTCAAAGTTTAAAAATACATTTTAAAACTAAAATTCAAACAAAACACATGAAATCTATTTCCAGATCAGGGCTGGGCCTGACCTGGAAAAAAAATGTTTTAATACTATAAAATAAATAAATAAATGAAAGTAAAAAAAAAAAAAAAGAATAAGTGCTTAACATAGTAGATGTGGCCCCCAAACAAAAAACAAGCAAAATAAAACACAAAATCCACCAAATTAAAAAGATTATTGGGTAGATTTACTTATTTCACATAAATTTCACGTAAAGTTTACTTATTTCACGTAAATGTACAAGCTCAGGATTATTTCTAATGTTAATTTTTGATGTATGCACCTCTAACAAGTATTGTTTTTGAAAACTGACTTTATCAAATTATCACTGATTTCTAATTTTGTGGGCTGGAGCAACAGCACGGCAGTAGGGCATTTGCCTCACGTGCAGCCGGCCCAGAGAGCCGAGTTCGATTCCTCCACCCCTCTTGGAGAGCTCGGCAAGCTACCGAGAGTATCTGGCCCGCACAGCAAAGCCTGGCAAGCTACCCGTGACGTATTCAATATGCCAAACACAGTAACAACAAGTCTCACGATGGAGACATTACTGGGCCCCGCTCGAGCAAATTGATGAACAACAGGAGGACCGTGACAGTGACCTTACGATTTTGTGAAATTTCAGGAGATTAGCTCTATTCATCTATATATGTGTGTAGGTGCATCTGTCCAACAGATAGGATTAAAAAAGTCAAAACAGACACTGCCACATAAATGCCTCCAGATCCTGCACCAGATTGTCTCTTCAAGAGCACCCCAGAAGGGGGCAAGTGAGTCCCTCCAACTGTCCCAACAGAGCCCCAGCAGCTAAAACCCTCCAGAACCCAATCACCACCATGCTCACAGCTATTTCCACAGGCTTAGAAGAGCCTGATCCATGAGTGAATCTGTTGGAAAAACTCAGGTATGTGGATTTTGTAACTGAAATCTCCAGGCTCATATGGAATCAGGAATGGGCGAGCTCCCCACATATCCCTGTTCTTCCGGGAGCCTGGCAGTCATACCCATGAACCGTCTCTGGTTGCCATATAAGCTCATTAATGGCCATGATCCAGAGACTCACAAATAAATCTCAGAAGAGAAAGAGAGCAACACATCATAGAGTTGCCTCCAGACCCCAAAGTCACCATCCAGTTAAAAAATTAACTCCAGCTATATTTAAAAGTTTACAATTCCTGGAGCAACATCTCATACTTTTTCTGCTGATGTACCAAGAGTAGCACACCACATTTTATAAAATATATATATGTGTGTGTATATATGTATACATGCATATGTACATACACACATATATACATTATATGTATATATATATATATTAGTGCACAGGGCTCAATCTTTAACATCATGTTAAAGTGATCTCTTATACAAGGGCTTAATGATTCTGGGGTGAGATACAACAATCTTCACACACTTTTCTTCAAGGAAAATTTTTTGGATCATTTTGAGCAGCAGATTATTCATAACAAGCTATACAAAATAAATTATTTAGGTCTTGTTTTGTGTGGGAGGCTTTGGGGTGGGGTAGAAAAATTCAAAATATAGTGGTCAGAAGGTATAATGGTGTTGGGATTGGTGTTGAAATAGTGAATGTAATAAATTAATGTAACAACTTTATAAAAATAAAATAATTTTTAAAAGGTCAATACAAGTGGTGAAAGTCATCTGTTTTGTTGTTGTTGTTGTTTTTGCTTTTCAGGTCACACCTGGTGATGCACAGGGGTTACTCCTGGCTCTGCACTCAGGAGTTACTCCTGGCAGTGCTCAGGGGACCATATGGAATGCTGGGAATTGGACCTGGGTCGGCAAAGCAAACATCCTACCCGCTGTGCTATCTCTCCAGCCCCCCGGTGAAAGTCATCTGAACTGAAGATTTTATCTACGTAACTGAACTGGCATGAGGGACGTGTTTGGAACAGTTCCTTGGAACATAGGTGATGCAGACATTCTGGTGATGCATATTGGAGCAATGAATGCATAAAAAGTATGATTAACAGTACTGTAAATCCCAGTACCTTGATAAAAATGATTTGAAAATCTCTCTTTTGAAAAGAAAAGACACAGGAACAACTATGGTCATGGCATCACTACTTACAGCAACCAGGACCTGGAAATAGTCCAATAACCCAATGGCAGGATTAGAAATCATGATCTTATAGACACAGTGACATAGTAAACAGTAGTGCACTTTGAGAAAAAGGGGAAAACTGGGCTTTTGATATAAGGAAAAATGAGAAGGTGTCATGATAAGAGAAATAAGTCAGAGAGAGAGAAGTGCCCAGGAGGGGACAAGTGCCTTTATACACCACTCCTACGTGTGATATGAAGAATCAAAACGGGAAAGGGAACGATGATCAGAAGCAGCTGCTGGTCTAGAGCTTTCAGAAACGTGTGACCTCAGGCCTCAACACGGAGTCACCACACTCAGAGTTTGTGCCAGAACTAGGGGAGCGTGTCTCACTGCCCCGAGGAAGGGAGGCTCCCTGGATTCTACATGACCTCTTTGCTGTTTGGGGGGCAAAAGGGGTCACAGGACCTCAGTGCTGCAGGAGGGGATTCTTACTTGGGTATGTGCGGGGAGCTGACACTCCACTTCTGACAGGTCACACCCGACCTCGTCTTGGACATGGTGCCCCTGTAGGTCTTTCCGTTCCCGGTCTTGCACTCTGAAAGATACACTGAGAGGAGAGAAACAACCTGGTCACGTACATTATTTTCTTGTAGATTTGCAGGGCACCCACAGGGCTGGGGAGCTACTCTTAGCGCGGTGCTTGGGGGTTGCTCCTGGTGGTCCTCAGGGGATCTTGCGGTGACAGAGGTCAAACTGGACTTCCCAACATCAAAGCCTGGGCCCAGTCTTTGAGCCACCAGCATCCCGTGTTCTCTGGGAGAAGCAGCATGAGGAAGTCCTGAGTGGTGCTGCAGGGAGGGAGAAGGGCAGGGACACGGGGGCGGGCACCGGCTTCTCCGTCGAAGACCCTTGTTTTAGAGCCAGGCAGGACGGGCACGTGGCCCCTCTTCAGAGCACTGCCTTGCTCATCCGAGCCTGGGGCCGCAGAACTGGGGGAAACAGGAAGGAAGGAGCCGGGATCTACACACACACTGGGTGTGGCCCCCTACACACACACCAGCCACTCACACACACACATCACACATACCACATACACACCACACACATACACATACACACAAACACACCACATACACACCACACACATGTACACATACACACATACACAACACACACATACACACATACACACCACATACACATACACATACACATACATACCACACACACATACCACCACATACACATCACACATACACCAGCCACTCACACACACTACACACACCAGCCACTCACACACACACCACACACACCACATACACACACATACACACATACATACCACATACATACCACACACACATACACACATACACACCACATACACACCGCACATACACCAGCCACTCACACACACCACACACACCACATACACACACATACACATAGACACATACACATCACATATACACCACACACATACACATACACATACCACTCACACACACCACACACACCACATACACACACATACACATACACACACATACACATACACACATACATACCACACACACATACACACCACATACACACTGCACTACACCAGCCACTCACACACACACCACATACACACATATACACATACACAAACATACATATACAACACATACACACCACATATAACCCACACACACCAGCCACTCACACACACACCACACACACCACATACACACACATACACTACACACATACACACATATACACCACATATCCACCACACACACCAGCCACTCACACACACCACATATACACACCTGCCACACACCACACTTACATACATGTGCACACACATATACCTGACACATACCACACACCCGTCACTCAAACACATACCCACACATACACACTACATACACACATGCATACATACCCCACACACATACACACACATACACATCACATGTACACACTCGCCATACCACACACATACACACACACCACACACCCGCCATACACACCCCCACCACACACACACACACACACACACACACAGATTACATATGCAGCAGAGGGAAGAAAGAGCATGGACAGAGTCTCTCCACCTGCCAGGCCAGGGAAGCTCTGCAGGAAGACACAAAGCCGGAAGAGCCAACCCGACAGCAGTGCTGAGGACGGGCGAGGAGGTGCGGCCAGTAGCACACACTCTGAAAAGTTAGTGTCTGGCACACACCGTCTGGTGAATGAACAGCCTCTCAATAGAAGGCAGATTAGCAGGAATGGACATTTGGTTCTGTTTAGGGGCCCCACCCAGTGGTGCTCAGAGCTTGCTCCTGGCTCTGTGCTCAGGGATCACTCATGGTGGGGCTCAGGGGACCATATAGGGTGCCGGGGACTGAAGACGAGTTGACCACATGTAAGGCAAGTGCCCTATCTGCTGCCCTATCTCTCCAGCCCCAGTAATGAACATTTTTAGCTTAATAAAACAAAGTCAAATTAGCTGGACTGCAGAGTGTTGAGCATGTGGGAACTAGGGTGGGTTCTGCAGGCTCTTTACAGGCCAACAGACCACGTGGCTCTGCTTTGGACATTCCCAGGATACCGACATGAGATGGGGCTCACGGAGCTGAGAAAGAAGCTGTACAGTCCCCCTTGGGTGCACCAAGCTGCTCTTGACCAGCCTTGGACCACTGACCCTGGGTTAACCCAGGATGCACTTCCAGTACTCACCTGGGCCCACGAGGGTAGCAGCCACTGCCCACACACATCCCTGCCCTCGGCGTGGGTGATGCATTATGAAGATCCAGCTGGTTGTGGGATCAAATACCTTATAAAGCTTATTTAAGAGATGATCCCAAACTTTAGAGTTTTAAAAATGTGAATGTGTGGGGGAAAAAATTGTACTTTCTATTTTGACAAATTTGGTTGTTTTTAAGGGCACTGTTTACAAGGGCAGGAGACGTGGATCTGGAGGAGCCCAGGAACTGCACAAGGAGAAAATGGGTTCCATCCCCCACGCCACAAATGCACAAATAGATTAATTGTTTGCAAAACCCCAGTGAGGGCAGGGCGGACACATGGGGCCTCTATGAAGCTGAGGAGAATAATAAAATGAGAAAGGTATTTTATAGTCAGAAGGATTATCGGGTGTCTCTAGACCATCATCTAATCGAACAGAAGGAAATGGGCAACCAAGACCAGGTTCTGAGCTGATGCTATTCAGGAAGAGAGACAGAAGCTCCCATCACTGGCCCCAGGTCAGAGAAAAAGGCCCTTATTCACTTACTCACTCACAGTGCCCCTGTCAGCTTGGGTATGCAATGACAGAGTTAACACATTCAAGGTTTATCAACTTGTCTTTTATGATTCACTACTTTTAGCCAAGTTTTTTTTTAATTCATTGATTATTTGGGAAAAGTACTTCTAACAACCAGTAGCAAACTACACTTTCCAGCCAACACTGTAACAATTGCAAATTTCTCCAGGATAGATCATTACAGTAGGCCTATTGCTTTTCTCCAAAGTGAGCGTCAAGGGGCAGAGAGACGCCTTAAAGGGCTGCATGCTGGCTTTGCATGGGAGAGTCCTGGCTGTGATCCTCAGTACCACGTGGTCCCTTGGAAACTGATGGGAGTGACCCCAAGCACAGAGCTGGGAGTAGGCCTGAGCACCACTGAGTGTGGCCCCCAAATTAATTTCTTTTAATTGGTGTAGCCCCAAGATACTTTGGAGATTCAGGAGAAGGGAAGATGCTTGAAAGAAGGGATGCTTAAAAGGGTTCCAAGGGACGATATGCAAAGGTGCTGGCCACACAGCGTTTTCTCAGTACTTGTACTTTCTCAGTTCTTCTCTCAGGTGCTCAAAGGAAAGGACCAATCTGGCCGGGCAGTGACCCAGTCAGCGAAGATGGTGGTTTAGACCTGAGAGTGGGGAATGGCCGTGAAGGGCGGTGGGCAGTAGACGTGGAAAACCCTCGCAGGCAGATCAGGTGAGGATCAATATTCCACTGGGATACTGGAAATGACTGCCATGTGCCTCTTCCCCTCTCTTGTTTGGATGTACCCTCCCGAGTTTGTCTAACCTTTGCTCCTTTCCATCGCCTTGAAAACAAGCGACTTTTCAACAATTCAGACCAAGCCAACCGGACACCCCCATCTTCCTTCTGGTTAACGATTTACAAATGTCATATTTAAATATTAGCATTTTTAGGGAGAATCCCACTGACTCTTTTCCCATCTGGTGGGTGTTTAGTAATCCAATATATCTCAGCCTTCAGTCACTGTGTATAAAAACAAATAATCAACACAGGCCTTAGATTTCGTCTGCACTTTAATCTCAAGAGGCAAAGAGAAAGAGAGGTAAGAAAGACCTTCAGCAGGAAGAGAGATAAGATGAACCTTGATTCATTTGGTAGAAAGAACCCTAGACTAACAAATTCTTTGAAAACTCTAGAGTTTTGTGGAGCAGCTAAAGAAAAATGTCACATTATTGTCAAGAGTGGATGAATAATTTCTTATTGTTGACAGCTCTGACTGAAAATATTTGAAAATCTTTTTGTTGTTTTTGTTGTTGCAATTGTTCAGTTTAGCATTTGGTTTTTCAGGCCACATTCTGCTATGCTCAGGGATCACTCCTCGGGCAGCACAGAGAACCACATTTAGAGCCTGATATCAAGCCAGAAAGTTGCATGCAAGTCAAATGTCTTAACTCCTGTACTTTCTCTGCAGTCCAGCTAAGTTGTTCTTGCAAGTGCCATATAACAATAGAGAAAAGCAGGTATCTTTAAAGCTGTGATATGCCATTAAAATAGTCATGCAGACACTGGGGGAAAAAAGCCAGGCAAATTTCCAGGTATTCAGATATTTCTTCTCCTCAGCAGTAGAAAAGGCAGGGCAGACCTTACAAGAAAACTCTGGAAAATTAACTGAAAAATTTTTGAAGACTAACATTTCAGATTTCATAGGAGACATAGACTAGGATTCTTCAAAGTGGGAAATTTGAGAATAAAATCGCAGGCTTTTTCCAAATGGCACTGAGCATTCAGGCACCAGTTGGTTCTAGCTCATGGGCTCGAGGCCCTGGTCTGTCTGCAGAATAAGGATAAGATCAAAAGAAAACTTAAGGTTCAATCATAAGATCAAAAGGAACCTTAAGGCCTATCCCTCCCCCTAAAAATAAAGTTTAAATTTGAGTATTTTCTTTCAGAGTTGTGGAACTAGAAGTGTTTTTTCTATATATATATATCTTTGGGACTGGAGAGATTGTACAAGGGGAGTAAGGATGCTTGCCTTACACATGACGGACCTGAGTTCAACCCCCACATTCTATATCGACCCTTAGAGACCCACCAGGGATGACCCCTGAGTGCAAAGCCAGGAGTAAGTCCTGAGCACCACCGGGTATGGCCCAAACTAAAAGTAATAGTAGCACATTTTTTAAAAAATTTAAGTAAAATTAACTCCTGTATTTTCATTTAAGTAAAGGCCATCGAAAAGAGTTGGTGACCCCCCCACACACACACCCTCTGACTGACCTACACACAGTGGTAAGGTCTGGTCCTGACTCTGCTTTCAATGCTAGAGACCACACAGCCCCATCAGGGCTAAGGGAGAGAGAGGAGGAAGAGGGGTCTGGGGGATGAGCACACGGACATACCTTTCTTTTCAAAGAGAATCACATCTGTCATGCGGGTCACGGGCGCTGTCCTGCTGTTCTCAGCCATGATCACGCACTGCTGCTCCTTGCTGTGGAACTGGAAGGACCTGCGGAGAGAACCGAATGCGGGTGCCTTCCTGCGGTCAAGGGCAGCAGAGTGAACCCAGGGCACTGTCTCTGAGGAGTGGAGGAGCTCAAAGCTGGGAAGAATCAAGAAGCTTCCAGAAATGGTGCCCCCCACCTGCTGTTGCTCCTCGCTGTACCCAGATCCCTTCCTCCCTCCACCTTCTCTTTTCTCGATTGTTTCACTCCGTTTTCTTCAACGTGGTGCCAGAATATTGACTTTGATTTGGAAGACAGCAGCTTTGGTTATAATAAATCTATCTAAAGGTGGCGCCTGACTTCCCCGCTAGGGACATGTCCCCTTGATATGGCCTTTACAGACGCTTCCCCCCAACCCCCATCCCCTTGTCCCCACAACACCCTGCCACCAGGAAGTTCCCTGAATCATGTCCCTTGACCCAGCTTCTGTATCCTTTGACATGGCCTCAACAGGCCACCTCCCCTTCACACCTCCCTCCCCATTCAGGGTCCCTTCCAGTCCTCCTCATGCAGGACCCTGTGCTTTAGCCAATGGGATCAATTCTGTGTCCCTCTTGCAGGCTCCTATCTGTGCTCCTCGTCTCCTAGGGGTCTCCCACCTCAGTGAGTCCGTCGAGAACTCACAACAGCCCTGAGAACTCCATCTCAGCCCTCACTCTGCCCAAGGGTCCGCCCCTGCAAATCCCTCTTTCCTCCCATTATTGCCAAGAAGGATGTGCTGACAATGCTATGTGCCAATACTCTGCTCTGGCTGTCTGGCTCAAAGAATCCTTTTCCATCATCCAGTGTCTGTGCTGCAGCAGACACAGCCAAGCAGGTGCGCACCCCTGCACGGCTTCTTCCTGGTACCCACCAAGGCACCAGCTTCCACCCTGAATCCAGACAGTTTTGCTCCTGTGAGTCTTTCAGTCCCATGTTCCCCTGTAAATATTTACTGAGAGAATGCAGAACAGTATCTGCGAGTGTTAGGTAAGAAGGAAAAATCATTTCTTTGGGGGTACTCCCCTAAGAGGAATGCTAATGAGAAATTATTAGAAGATACGCGAATGAGAAATTGTTAGACTTTCAGATCCAGAAACAAGCATGGGTTCCAAAACCAAACAACCCCCTCTGAAATCCTAGGACTTTGTTTATTTTGGGGGGGCCATACCAGATGATGCTCAGGAGATGACTGGGACTCCTACCTAACAGTGTTTGGGGAACATGTCATAGCAAGAATCAACCCCGGTCTTTCCACATGCAAAGCACACACTCGGTCAGTGCACATTCCTCTGGCCCTGAAATCCTACTTCTGTCATTAGCCCAGGAATAAATCTACTGCCATTGATACACTCGTGTCACAGAGCAAACCATCACCAGGGCAGCTCGGAACAGTCCAGTACCTGCACGTGAATCTCGTTTCCTCCTCACACCTGGAAGCACAGTCCTCAATGCTTCTGGCCACCAGTTGCTGCTTCATGACACTGAACAGCAAGGCCCCCTGAGTGCTTGCATAGTCCTCAAGGGAAGCTCCAAGACCTGAAAACAAAGACAGATCAATTGGGAAAATCTGTCCGCTGTTAAGGAGAATGTATCATTAGACTACTATGGGCTTGGAAACCAGCAAAAGTTACTCCTGGTTGGCAGTAGAATGAGAGGCTTGGAATAAAATGTGATGCTAGGAAAACAGGTGTATTAATAGAGCAGACTATAATAGAAGGTCATCTGGATTGAGGGATGAACAGGGAGTGAGCTACAGAGTCTAAGTTACTCCACTGATGGGCAGGAGGCTGCAAATAAGACAATTGCGATCAGTTGGGTCGAATTGCTTTGTTGTTAGAGGGAATGAGCTTGTCATGATAGGCATTGTCCGCCCTCAGAAACATAGGGAATTTTAGCTGGTTTCCAACAATCTCATCCATGAGGGTGACATTGTCACCTTTTCAAATAGGACAAACACACCCAGAGGGTCCTCCCTGGACACAGGTCAAACCTGCACTGAACCTTCCCTAAATGCTGGGGCACATCCCACTGAGTTCAGCACCAAGACACCTGAAGGGAATCAGGAGAGAGAAGGAAGGTTTGTGGGGTGACAACATCCCCAAGGCATGATCTGGCCCAGTGGAGAAAAGCAGAAAGAGGCGAACATTAGCCCTGGGTTCTAGTCAGATGTAACCTGAGGCCAAGATCAGGGTGAGGGTGATCTGTGCCTCACAACCGAGGTACCACTCTGAGCCTCCTCTGGCCCCTGCCGGGGACCACCAGGAGTGTTTCCTATCTAGAGACCTCTGACCAGAGTTGGCAGTTCCACCCTTTGAGATGGGCCACTATTGATTGTCACAGGGCAGGAAGCCCAAGAGGTTAAGAAAATCCACCCAAAGTTTGCCTAAATGGGTTAGGCAACAAGGAGACTTTGACCACTCGCAGAGCGTGGGGGAGGGGAGGATGCTGGAGGGAGCGTGTAGAAAGTCCTAGGTAAGGAATTAGGAGCAGCCAGAGAAGATGGGCATCTCCTGAAGCAGCTGTGACAGGAGCTGAATACAGAGGGACTATGCAGGGACAGAATTGTTCAAAGAGGAGAAGGTCCAGACCACGGTTGGAGACTGAGAACAAGGACCTGGCCCAGCAGAGTCTGTGGCTCCTCTTTAACAAAATCAGATCCTGCCCGGGCCCTTGGCACCAGCAGAGTAAGATGCCAGCCCTCCCTAACCCACACTTCCTGTCCTCGAATCTGTCAGAGAACCCAAACTTTGGGGTGGTTCCTGAACAGGTCATGATCTGATGCACTTTGAACTTACAGATCAAAAGGCACCTGAGAATGTGCCCAAAGACTCTGGAGGAAAAGACATGGAGTCCCAGGCCCAAGTCTCCATCGACCTGGTCTCTGGACTAAGCTCCCATTTCCAGAAACTGTGCTGCGCCGATTCTGTGGACGGGATTCCAAACTCAACAGACCCTACAGACCGTGTCCACAGACGCAAACTCAACTGTCCGAGTGCTCCTTGAACACTAGCACAAACACCATTTCCATTAACGATTGAGTTGGAAGCAGAAAGTCTCGTAGAGATTCCTGGAATGACACCTCAACACAGAAATCTTAGAAGAAACGTGTGTTTGAGTTCTTAGTGAAGCATCCAGATGTTTGCTGTCAATAAGTTTTGCTGGCTGGTTGTGTGCTTGTGTGTGTCCACCTGGTTGTGTGCCGAAGGAAAGACTTAGTGGGCTGGAAGCTGCGGACTGTCTTCCCTCTCCCTGAGCACAGCTGAAGTAGCATCTTCTTTCTGCATCCTGTAGCATGTTGGGAAGATGAAATACTGGCACGGAGAGAGTTAATGCCTTCCTCTTGCTCAGAGCTCACCCAAGAATGCTTCCTGGCTCTCTCCTGGCAGGTGAAATCAGATGCTAATCCTGCCCTGAGAAGTGTGTTCAAGCATTTGGGAGAGATCCCTGCGCCTCTTCCCGCTTCCTTGGGCCAAACCCAGTGAGATTCCGCCCTGTGCCCAGCCCTTCCGCTAAAATCTCTTTGGAAACTACAATCTTCCTTCTGTGTTTTCCTTAGTATTTACTTGGATGGCTCAACTAAATTCACATCAGTTTGACTCTAAAGTACAACTTTTCCAGTTTTTTCCTGGAAGTTGCATATTGAGTGTCTGTGTATCTGAAGAACCACAAACCTGATGTTATGATCATGTTTCTATGATCTCCCAGTGGCTATGGAAAAACACAGAGCAGATCAATTGTCCAAGGGTTGGCCCGAGCTGGGGGGGTGGGGGGCTTCATACAAGAGCATGGCGTTTTCTTGGGGGCAATAAATCTGAAGGTATCATGATAATTCTGTCTCTTGGAAAGCAATAAATTCTTTGGGGGGGGGGGGGCAATGAATCTGAATGGTATTACAACAATCCTCTCAGAAGACAGAATACTGCTAGATGGTGTGATTTTGGTGAGTGTAGTATAGATTATGTGAGTTATATCTTCCAGGGCGGCACGCGGCCTCCAGATGGGTCGCATCCTCAGCCGCTCCCTGCAGAGGGGTGAGTCCAGGCACCCAGGGGTGGGGGGAGGTGGGGACCATCCCGCCTGTGAGCTTTTTCCTGTTCTACGGAGAGAAGCGGCTTTTGCCTCTTTCCTCCGGAAGGAAAGAGACGGGTGGGCTGGAGAAGGACACCCGGGCCCGCTCGCCCCAGAGGGTCATGGCCTCATCCCGGCGCACCCGCGTTCGTGCTCCCGAAGGGGTCCCCCGACCCTGTCCCTCGGTGACTTTTCTTATCCTTACCGCCAGGAGAGAGGAACTTTGGGGGGGGGTTGCCTTCCCACCGCTAGCATCAGGGTGACCGTGTGCCAATCACCAGCCCATCACTCGCCCTCTGTCTTGGCACCCGTTAGGGGACCTCCCTGTAAGGATGGAGCCACGCCCCGCGGTGCCAAACTTGCCCCTGGCGCCCAGGGCTTGGGCTTTGGAACTAGGCTCTGGAGAAGGCGCAGCTGATAGAGGGGACCCGACAGCTTCCATCAGGGTAGTGTCGCTTCCAAGCTTGGTTCTGTTCCCCACCCACCTCCCACCAACCGGACTCACTTTTAAGATTTGGGGAGGTGTTGTATAATCACCTACTAGTAAAGATCTGATTGGTTGATTGATTTTTTTTTTAAGTTGCAGATGGGAAAAGAGTACCTCGGGCAAGGCGCTTGGCTTTGCTTTTTCCTTGCAGCCAACCCCCGGCTAGATCCCAGACACCCTGAGCCCGCTGAGTGTGACCCAAAGCCAACTGCCTCCCTCCAAACCCCAAAAATGGGGGCTGTGAGGGGAGAGAGCTAGGTAAATACGGGCCACACAGGCCATTGAGAACTTAAAATGTTCTCGGTTGGGTTGTAAAGTGCTGCTTAGTATAGAATGGACCCTGGATTTCCTTGATTTAGGATGAAGGGGGAAAAAGGTTTTGTTGTTGTTGTTGTTGTTGTTATTTTAATATCTAATACCTAGTTGAGGGGCTGGAGCGATAGCACAGCGGTAGGGTGTTTGCCTTGTGTGCAGCTGGCCGGTGCGGCCCAGCCGAGTTCTATTCCTCCGCCCCCCTAGGAGAGCTCGGCAGGCTACTGAGAGTATCTCACCAGCATGGCAAAGCCTGGCAAGCTACGCGAGACATATTCGATATGCCAAACACAGTAACAACAAGTCTCACGATGGAGAGTTACTGGGCCCGCTGAAGCAAATTGATGAACAAAGGGAGGACAGTGTTACAGTGCAGTGCTACCAAAGAACCACAAACATGTGCTTAGAATATTTTCAAGAGGGCAAAGAGAACAAGGGAGGAAACTTTAGATTCCTTCTTGGGAACCCAATTCTGATTCTTTACATCCTGGATTTGGGGTGCTAATGGGCCAAGATTATAGTTTTCCAAAGTTTGGATTTTCTAATCTAAAAGATGGAAGTGCATGTCTTACCCCAGCAGTTCCATATGCAGTTGAGGAAAGGACACACATCATATTGTGTACAAAATGTGAACATCCCTCTATGGTACCCAAGGAATCTTTGAGAATGACTTTGGGTGTCTATTAGGGACCAGCAGACTGAGACGCGGAAGAAGAGAAGCAACTCAGAGAGAGACACTGCTGAAATCTGGCAGTGAAGAGACTCAAACTCCAAACAGAATACGATGTTGATCAGCCAAAGAACTGGACCAAGAGACCAAGCATTGCCCAGTTTCCTGACAACACAGGCTATTTTCTCCATTAAAATAACCATCACAGGTGCTCCAGCTCTTACTGAGAAGTCCCCTATCATTTTCCTGCCATTCCTGTTCGTTCTCACAGGAAGCAAAGCCTGTTTCTTGAAGAATCCCTGGAGTTTGGATTTAGCACTGGGACTCCCATGAATGAATAAAGGAAGCTGCACAGCCGCCCCCCAAGTGGCCAAGCAGGTTTCAGGAGCAGCGCTGAGTAAGGTCAGAAACCGGCTTGGGCTCTTACCTGGTCTCAGAAACAAGAGCAGCAGGAAGACCACGTCCTGGGGCTCCATGGTGGGCCTGGTCAGCCGGGTGCAGACAGCTGAGGGCCCGGTCCTCAAATGGCCAGGACTCCCCGGGCCGAGGAGACACCCACCAACAGCACAGTTGGTTGTGGTTAATGATTAATTGTCCGGCAGCCCGGACCTCTGTGCTGGGAGAGATCAAACGTTACCTGTACCCGCACTTACAAAACCTGGAGAGCTTTCTCACCAGGGATGCCAGGAAAGGCCGGGCAGTGGCGGGCAGTCCCCGCCCAGGGCCGCCCCGGGGCTACGTGCTGTCCTCCAGCGCCTCTGCCAGGCCCGTGTCTCACCTCCCACTCTCTCAGGCTTCCTTCTCTTCCTCTCATCCCCTTGATTTTGGGGAAGAGAATTCACCACAATAGTACCATGGGTGGAGAAACATTCCATGCACAGGCCCCTTTGCTAAACAGTGCACAGTGTCATTCAACGTTCTAAACCACCCCCACCCTGCTGCTCAGAAAGCAGAGATTTCTGAGTTCCAGAACACGCAGCTCCGCTTTTGTCAAGCCGGCAATGACTCTTGTGCAAAGCAGGAAGTGCAAAGATGCTAAGGCATTTCACCCATGGCTACAGCCAGAATATCAGGGCGAGGATGAAGTTACCATGCCAGGGGTCCTGGAATTGTTTATAATCCTCAGGCACTGCGGCGACAAGTTTGCTTTAAAGAGAAGTGGAAATCAGGTGGTAGATACTGGACATATGAACAATGACTCATCACTCTCCACCACGGTCCTTATCCATATACAGAGACAGGAAATCCTCTAAGAACACTCCGTTAAGAAAAACCAATGTTAAGCGAAATGACTTAGAAAGAAAGGGATAGACATAGAAAGATTGCATTCATCTGGGGAACATAAAGTAACAAAATAGGAAACTAACACCCAAGTATGGCAGAGATTAGTACCAGGAATTTTACTCAATGACCCGGAGGACCACCACACATGTTAGGGGAAGGGGGAGCACAGAAAGAGAAGAGAACACCAAATAAAGGGTGTTGGGAGGATCCGCCCATGATGGGAGAGCATGCTGAGGGTAGACTGTCGACCAAGCATGATTGCCACTCAATGCCTCTTTTGCCGACCATGGCACTCAAAAGGAGAGAGAGGGAAATGCCCTGCCACAGAGACAGGGTGGGATAGGGGCTGGGGGGGGGAGGGGATGCTGGGATTCGTTGTGGTGGGAAATGCGCACTGGTGGAGGGATAGGTGTTTGATCATTGTATAATCGAAACCCAAGCACAAAAATGTGTAAGTCTACAACTGTACCTCATGGTGCCTCACTATTAAAAAATAAATAAATATTTTTTTAAAAAAAAGAAAAACCAATGTCCAGTCAACAAAATAGCAATCAGTGAAGGACATGAGGTCCCCTCCTGGACTCCCCATGATTCCTCCCTGGATGCAGGGCAAGAAAGATTCCATGGAGCCCCTAAATGCCACAGAAGCATGGGCTTTCAGCATTGCTGTTAGGGAAAGTGCCTTCGAGAAAGCCCAACAGACACATATCGTTGCCTGTCACAAAGACTTTTTCCAGAACTCAGAAAGTGTGAATCCTTCCGTGTGCAGATAAACCGGGAGCTAGTTCATTCTTGACAATATGCCGCGATGCCCAATGGACCCATTCTCCATTGTTATAAGTTGTGCTATAGACAACACTGATCTCACCCCCAAATATATTCACAGTTGAGTCTCTTCTCATCCTCATGAGATCTGCGAGGTAAAATGACGTTTAAGGAGCCTGTCTTGGGATCAGGGCAGTGGCAGAGGGGCTAGGGGCACGTGAGCACTTCACCTGAGTTTCATCTCCAGAACCACCTGTATGGTTCACCAGCTGTGGCCTGGAGGCCCCCAAGAATTGTCTGCTGTACCCCAGAGGCTTCCAGTCACCTGAAGTGGCCCCAAGTAACCCCAGCATGGCCGGGCCTGAGAAGCACCTCCTTTTCCGGTCCCAGAATCATACCTCCAGCGAGTTGAACAAGAGTCACTGGGAATGGCCTCGTTGCCTCCTTGAGCCACTTTAGAAGCCCGATAAAAAAGTAAAAGAATAAATAACCACAGATTTTATCTTGATTTCATCCCAGACTTCAGGCTAGAATAATGTGCAAACTCAGGCTTCAAAATATTCAGCAAGGGTTGGAGCGATAGTACAGTGGGTAGGGTGTTTGCCTTGCACACGGCTGACCCGGGTTCGATTCCCAGCATCCCTGTGGTTCCCCAAACAGCGCCAGGAGTGATTTCTGAGTGCAGAGCCAGGAGTAACCCCTGAACATCGCCGGGTATGACCAGAAAACAAAACAAAACAAAATTTCAGCATTTGAAACTATGGTACACAGTGACACTGATTGACTCTTAGAGGTGAGGTAAGAACAAGAAACACCACCTCTCCCTCCTCCTGGTCATAAAACACTTTCCTAGAAGTTCAGTAGCAGAGTGGAGAGGGATGTTCCACTGGGTGTGCGTCCCCCATAACTCCCCAGGAAGTATCCCAGGAGAATTCCCAAGAAGCAATGAAGGGGGGACTATAAGGAAAGTCACTCACTCACATCCTGCCTGCTTTGTCCTAGCTCCTCTCCCCAGCCCTACGCCCACTTTCCTGGTGGTCCTGGTGCCAAGGAAGGGGACTTTGAGAGGGAGCAAGCTGGAAAATCATCCCTGGGCAGATCATCTGCTTCAAATGTCTCTGATGGTCAATGAATTTGTGCTCAAGAAAGTATGGGGGGTGGCACAAATACCCAAGAGACTGGCAGTCTGACTGTCATAGGAACTGTCACCTTTCCACACCCACTTCCCACTGCCTCTAGCCCCAGGGACTGTTCTTCCAGTAACTTCCTGCCCTACCAATAGCTCTGGCTGTCCCCACTTAGTGTCATTTCAGGTGCAAATCGCCCCATCTAAACTCTGAGCACACCCATGCAGTCAGAGTTTCAGCAAGTTTCCCTGGGTCTCCCCGTCCTGGGTCACGGTTAGAACTGCCCCAGGAAGTGTGCTTATGCACACAGCAAACCTTTAGGCCTTGCAGGGCACTCTAGGCCTTGCAGGGCACCTAGGACCAAGGAGGCTGCTGCTCCCATTCCTACCTGGAATAGGGTGCATGGGGCAGGGAGAGAGCAGAGCAACCTATTCCCTCCCTAGAATCACATGGTCCCTAGATCATCTCCTGGTCAGCCCCAGAGGCCACCGAGCAATGGGAGGGTGGTCCGTGTAAGCCCGGGCACCACAAGGCACAAGCAAGAGCTCAGCCTCAGACACTCCCAGGGAATAGCCAGTCTGGTTGGCTGATAATTGCCAGGAGGCATCCAGGTCTTCTAAGCACTGCCTGGGAGGCTCTTGAGAGAATTCAGTCATTCGGATGCCAATTAAGGGGAGGCATGGCCTCCTCAGACTGGACAGAGAAAGGTTCCCTGGGGGGTATTCACGAAGTACTGGTGACCTGAGCTTCCACCCAAGCACAAGAACCCTGATTGGCGAACACACACCCCCTCCTGCCATCCCCCTGTGTATGAGCAAATATGGCAGAAAATATGAAATAAAGAAAAATATCCTATGCAACGTTTTAATTTTTATCGCAAGGTTTTTGTCTTTCTTTCTTTCTCTCTTTCTGTCTTTCTTTCTTTCCTTCTTTCTTTCTTCCTACCATCCTTCTTTCTTTTCTTTCTTTCTCTTCTTTCTTTCTTCCTTTCTTTCTTTCTTTCTTTCTTCCTTTCTTTCTTTCTTGGTTTGGGGGCCACACCTGCTGGTTCTCAGGCTTTACTCCTGACTCTGAGCTCAAGAATCACTCCTGGAGAGGCTCAAGGGATCTTATGTAGTGCCAGAGATTAAACCTGGATCTGCCACCTGCAAACAAATACTTAAACCACTCTACTATCACTCTGGTCCCAAACACTGAAATAGAGTTTTAAAGCACACTGTTGAGTTGACTGGGCCATTAAAATAATTGTGTATTTAGATGTAGACCAACAAAAACATGAATTCAAAAGATACACATATACCAATGTTTACTGCAACTCTTAGTACAATAGCCAACATGGAAACAACCCAAATGTCCAACAACAGATGAATAGACAAAGAAGCTATGGGACATATATGCAATGGAGTATTATGCAGCTGTGAGAAAAGATAAAATCTTGCAGTTCACTGCACTTGGATGAAACTAGAGAGTATCATCTTAAGCAAATTTAGGAGGAGAAGGACAAATACTGGTTAACTGTGCTCATCTGATGTAGAGAAGCCAAAGAAGAAAGCGACAATATGGAATGATGATGAATATTTAACCTTAGATTAGAAGGCTCAGAAAACTAATCAATGGAGGAAAGTTGAGCAAAAAAGAAATATCAACTGGAAGTAACACAAGGACAATGATGAGCTGTAGTAAGTATAGCAGAACCATTACGATTAGTACAATAGAAAACATATCAACTGAAATAATGAGTAAATACCTATTCACAACCTAAACTGAAACAATACCCATTCACTGCTTACTTCCAATGAAGTCTACAGTATTACACGAACACCAATAATTTGAATGATGCTAGTTTTATGGTTCTATTGGTCCCCAAATTGCAAATCTGCTTTTTAGCATGTAAGAGCTAGAGGAACAAAACATTTAGAGATTTTACACAGTCCTCTCTGGATTTTATAGCTCACTTTCTAGCTATTCTTCTTGCAGTTATGTTGGCATAAAACTAATCCAGGAAAATAATAATTCATGCTCATGTTCCATCTTTTCCAAGATGCGTACATGACTTGAAACTATACACTAGGACTCTCAGTGGTAACTCACAACAGTCAGTGGAAACTCCTGGATTAGGAACCTCTTGATGGAAAAATGCTTGAAGGCAAATGGCTTTGGGATGCAGTGCAGAGAAAGGGAAACTTTCTAGTGTCATTCCTGACCTTCACACTGGGGAATGTCGCAGTAGTCAAATCTGATATCTGGGTCCAGAGTGTAGCACCAGGGTCCCTCGTCGTCGTCGTCTGGATTCCTGCAGTAATTCTCCTCCAGGCCCTTGGAAGGATATTTGTCAGGAGAATATCTGTGGGGGGTGGAAGAGAGCTGCTTAGTTATATGTTCTCAGAAATAGGATGGAATTCCCCCATCTGTGGTGGAAGGACATCTCACAACAGACTGATGGGTTTCATGCAGGGAAACTGGACTGCAAAGTCTGAAGATTCCCAGTCCATTCCAACACCTGCTAGATTCAGGTACTTTCTGCAAAAAATTCCAGCAGTTCCTCTTGCCCAGTCTGTAGGAACCACATAGCCTCCATTCTCTGACACTTTCTATACCTGCACTTGTGTAGCCTGACTGAAGCCCCTAGCACAAAGTTCTCATCACTGAGTTACAGAGCAGGAGACAGAGTCTCAGAGATGCAAATCAAAAAGAATCTTGCCTGAGCTTGAACTCCAAGTAGTATCTCAAGCCTTTAAAGCTGGATGTGCCCGATTCGGACTCAGTACTCTCCAGATACAGGGGCCAGGGGCTAGCTTAGTGTAAGTTCTAGAGTTAAATTTCTGTCTAGAGAGAAGAAATTAGAAACACTGGTAAATGCACTCCTTGGAATCTATTCTTAAATTCACACACACACACACACAAAATACATTGCAGCGCTATTTATCCAGAATCTAGAAACAGCCTAACTACCCAGGGTCACATGAGTGGGTGAAGAAATTGTGTATGGGAATGGTCCCCCTAACAACAACAACAAACAGATGGGATATGCCCATAGGTAAGATAGCTTAGGTATTAGAATGCAAAGGGTTTTCAAAAACGCACCCAGGAAAGAACAATAAAGAAGAAAGAATAAAATCGATAATAAGTAATGTGCCAGGAAAGCATAGAATAAGACTGTTTTGGGTCTTTTACAGGGCAGGAGTGATAGCACAGTGGGTAGGGCATTTGCCTTGCACTTGGCTGACCCAGGTTCGATTCCTCATTCCTTTCAGAGAGCCCAGCAAACTACTGAGAGTATTCTGCCCACATGGCAGAGCCTGGCAAGCTCCCCGTGGTGTATTCGATATGCCAAAAACAGTAACATGTCTCACAATGGAGACGGTACTGGTGTCTGCTCGAGCAAATGGATGAACAACGGGAGGACAGTGCTACAGGTGTGGGGACATTTTTTCCTGGGCAAAAACAAAATAGGAAATGGTCAGGACATTATATTTGAAGGGTGCCTGCTGATAGCTATGTAAAGTTCCCCAGTCTCTGCTCTTCGTTTACCTGTGATTAATGTCTGCCAATGATGGCTAGCATGTTGGGGGCCTAGGAGGAGGGGGGGATGGATGCAGATATTGTCTTGAATAAATGGCCTGGGAGGCCATTGATGGCTGCCCAGGAAGCTCTAAAGCTCGAACAGTTCATGAATGTTTTGTTTGTCTCCTGTGTTTGTCTGGTTCTCTGTGAGCCTGGTGGAGGCCGCAGGGCCAGTTCAGCAGGAATGCCAGCAGTTGTGATCTATATACACCCCGGAGTCCTACTCAGCTTTGAGAAAAGATGAAATGTTGCTCTTTAGTACAAAGATGAGGGAATTAAAGAGCTTCGGGCTAAGTGAAGAAAGTCAGCAGGAGAAAGAGAAGAGCCCAGGACCTCTCTCCCATGAGGATAAAGAAACAGCCTTGAAACAGATGATGAGGGCTGAAACCAAACCCTAAATTCTGATCACAGAATTGAGGCTAACGACAGGTAATGAACCCCTAAAATGTAATGTAAATATCTGCAGTCTAGTAACCGAGTGCCTCAATTAAACAAAGACATGAAATTCAGGGAGAAAATAAATCCAAAGCCCCAAACTTGGAGTCTAAAGAGGCTGGTTCTGCTTCTGGCTCTTGTCCTTCCTGCTCTGGGTCTGAAGTTTCACTCTCTGCCCTTGTTGTCTGCTCAGAAACCTTGACCTTATGCCTGTGGCCTTCATCTTGTCCTCTCTGCGGGGGCACACTGGCTTTGCCATGGGTGAGAGACCCTCATCCCCACTGGGAGACACCAAACCCCAGTAGACACCAGGGAGCAGGTAAGCGTCCTCCAGCGGGGTCTGTTGCCTGAGACTCGGGGTCCTGAACATGCTCTTTGGGGTCTGTCTCAGGCTCTGCCTAAGGTTCAAGGTCGTCTTGTTCTCTGTGAGGCCGCAGCCTCCATCTCTAGGTCTCCCAGAAAAGTGGAGGCTTGGGACCCAAGCCACTGACCCTGCTTCTGTGTCAGACTAGGGTGCCCTCCTCACTGCTCGTGGGAGGGCGCCCTGGGAGCCGTGTGCCCTTTGCTACTTGGCTCAGCAGCACGGTGGCTGTCGGGATGGGGGCTCAGAGCTGCACGACGGGGGCGTCTTACCTGGGTCTGTGTGGGAAGTTGTCGGCCCACTTCTGACAGGTCAGCCCAGACTTCGTCGTGGTCATGGTCCCCCTGTAAGTACTTCCGTTCCCAGTCATGCACCCTGGGAAATAGAGTACAAATTGCTTAATTTTTTTTTTCATTTCATCATCCTGTTAATCGTCGATTGCCTCGAGCAGGCCCCAGTAACGTCTCTTTCATCCTAGCCCTGAGATTATATTCACGGCTCTTTAGGAGAATGAGACCCATCATTGTTACTGGTATTTGGCATATTTGGTACGCCACGGGGAGTTTGCCAGACTCTGCCCTGTGGGCAGGCTACATTCGATAGCCTGCAAGTTTGTCCAAAGTAGGAATGAGATAATAAGATGTCATAAAGAAAAGTTTTGATAAGATGTCGCGCGGCCGCGAATGCTGCCGCGCGGTTCCGGGATCTGGACTTTATAGTCTCTGAGTCTTGGCCGCTGATGGGATTACACGGTGCCAGGGGGCCAGGTGGTGGGTGTGACCCCCGCCTACTGGAATTTGGAGGATCTGGGTGGAAGATGCTCGACTCCAACTCGAGTAGGCTTGGAGGTCTCGGCCCCGGAACCCGCGTGGCTTTGTCCCTCTGCCAGTACCTTCATGTGTGCGGAGAGTGGTCTCAGCATGGTGGTGGCTGGTCCTGGAGGTCTTTGGCTGCCGGAGCCCCGGTCGGGGCGGGGAGGAAAGCTCGACCCGCTCCCCTCCAAGGGGTCCCGGCGAGGGACACCCAGGCGCGGGGGCAAAAGACAAATTGCTTAAATTCTTTCTTTTTTATTTATTTTAAATTTGGTTATTGTTTGGTTGGGTCACACCCATTAGGGTTTGGGGCTCACTCCTACTGGTGCTCTAAGACCAGTGGTTCTAAGGAGCTAACCCAGGCTTCACACATGCAAGCTCATACTTATCTTTAAACTCTCTTCCCGCTCTGTCCCCACACACCCTCAACGAATCCTGATTCTTCCAGAGAAGCAGAGCGAGGAAACCCTGAGTAGTAAAATTGCTCAGGCAGGAAGGTAGGAAGGGCAGGCAGGGACACGGATGCCGGCACTGGCCTCTTCATCAAAGAAGAGGCATGGGCCTCTCCTTGTTCGAGAACCAGGAAGGATGGGCACAAGCCCCGACTTCAGAGCTCTGCCTTGCTGATTTGAGCCTGGGGCTGCAGAATTGGGGGACACAGGCTTTTCCAAGGAGCCAGGAACCCCTCACAGAGCTTACATGCCAGTGGAGTCAGGGGCTGCTCAGGAAGAAGGCAGTCACCTACAGAGATTCTGAAATCGAGACCCTAATTCACAATGGCAAAATAGAAAGAGCATGGACTGGGATGACCGGAGGAGAGAGGGGGCAGGGCAGGGGCTCCTGACTTCACTTGTGATTTACTTTTGTCCCTAGCTTAAGGATGAAAAGATGACCAAAAACAGACATCTGAGATTTCAGTATTTGAAAATACTGTGCATTACTCATGTTGACTGAATTTTTAAAATTACTTATACTGGTAAAGGCCCTCCCGTTGTTCATCGATTTGCTCGAGCAGGCCCAGTAACGTCTCCATTGGAGACTTTGTTGTTACTGTGTTTGGCATATCGAATACTTCACGGGGAGCTTGCCAGGCTCTGCCGTGCGGGCAAGATACTCTCGGTAGCTTGCCGGGCTCTCCGAGAGGGGCAGAGGAATCGAACTTGGGTCGGCCATGATGGCTGCCTGCAAGGAAAACGCCCTACCGCTGTGCTATTGCTCCAGCCCGTGTAATCCCATCAGTGGCCAAGACTCAGAGACTATAAAAAAACAGATCTTGGAAGAGAAGAGTGCAGTCTTCTGCCCCCGCGCCTGACTGTCCTCGCTCGCCGGGACCCCTTGGAGGGGAGCGAGTTGAGCTTTCCTCCCCACCCCGACCAGGGCTCCGGCAGCCAAAGACCTCCAGGACCAGCCACCACCATGCTGAGACCACTCTCCGCACACATGAAGGTACTGGCAGAGGGACAAAGTCACGCGGGTTCTGGGGCCGAGATCTCGGATTTGGGTTGAGCATCCTCCACCCAGATCCTCCAAATTCCAGTAGGCGGGGGTCACACCCACCAACTGGCCCCCTGGCGCCGTGTAATCCCATCAGCGGCCAAGACTCAGAGACTATAAAAAACCAGATCTTGGAACCACGCGGCCGCATTTGCGGCCGCACGACATTTTATTATGACATCTTATTATCTCATTCCTACTTTGGACAAATTGACAGGCTATTGAATGTAGCCTGCCCACACGGCAGAGTCTGGCAAACTCCCTGTGGCATACCCAATATGCCAAATACCAGTAACAATGATGGGTCTCATTCTCCTAAAGAGCCTTGAATGTAATCTCAGGGCTAGGATGAAGGAGACATTACTGGGGCCTGCTCGAGGCAATCGACGACTAATAGGATGATTTGTGATTGTGATTGTGACTTATACTGGTATGTCACTGTCCTCCTGTTGTTCATCGATTTGCTCGAGCAGGCCCAGTAACGTCTCCATTGGAGACTTTGTTGTTACTGTGTCTGGCATATCGAATACATCACGGGTAGCTTGCCAGGCTCTGCTGTGCAGGTGAGATACTCTCAGTAGCTTGCCGGGCTCTCTGAGGGTGGGGTCAGGAATCGAACTCGGGTCGGCCATGTATAAATTACTTATACAGAATTTCTTAAATTACTGGGGGGGGGTTTGTTTGTTTTTTGTTTTTTTGTTTGTTTGTTTTGCTTTTTGGGTCACATCCAGTGATGCTCTGGGGATACTCCTGGCTCTGCACTCAGGAATTACTCCTGGCGGTGCCCGGGGGACCATATGGGATGCTGGGAATCGAACCTGGGTTGGCCGTGTGCAAGGCAAATGCCCTACCCGCTGTGCTATTTCTCCAGCCCCAAATTGCTATTTTTTTATTAAATTTTAAAGGCAAAATTGGAACAAGAACCACTCCTGCCTCAGTCACTGAAATTGCTTCCTGGGGATTAACCAGAAGAGCTGAGGTGTGGGAAGGACCCACTGGGAGTTCCTCCCCCGAAACTCACAGGGATGGATTGTGGGTGAGTTTCCAAGAAGCAATCCTTGGAGAGAGGAGGCGGCCGTGAGAATTCTCACTCACCACCCCCCTGCTTTGTCCCTGCTCCTCGTCTCTCGCTTCTCTCCATCCCCTCCATTTCCCCTACTGTCCCTCGTATCACTGAAGGGGACACAGGAAGGAAGCAAGCTGAGAAATCAGCTCCCTGGCAGACTCTTATAAAATATTTGCAATGCTTCAAGGGCTGGGGTGGGGGGGTCAGATAATGTGAATTAGATTGCTGCCTGTATAATTTATTTCTATTTCAGATTCTTACAGATCTGCCCTGAGGAGCACAGCTCTCACAACTTCTACATTCATTGAAAATTGACCTTTTTCTGCTTTACTTTTTAATTATTTTTTAATGGTTTTTTCCCAAAAGGTAGGTTTCTTGTCCCCTTTCTTCCTGCAAGCTCGTGGAATATGTGTGATTCTGCAGGTGTTGCTCATCAGGTTACCTTTTTTGTCCTTTTTGACAATGCATTCTCCATCAGCTTCACTGCACGTGGTCATCCGAAGAGGTGGGGGGGTCAGGAGGTCTGCGTCTGTAGAGTATGGAGAGAGGCAGAGAGAGAGGCGCTGCACAGGCACAGAAGGGGACTCACACCTCCAAGGAACCAGTGACAGGATACAAAGACAGCCCCCAGGGAAGGGGAGAGATTATTCACCCAATAATAAGCTGATAAGGGCTTAATATCAAAGCTATATAAGACACTGGTAGAACTTGACAAGGAAAGACCTCCAACCTCCCGCCTCAAAAAATGGGGAAAAGAGATGAACAGAAACTTCTTCAAAAAAGAAATACAGATGGCCAAAAGATACATTAAAAAATGCTCTAGATACAGCCTAAGAGAAGGACCACATGGAGGGCGGGAACCACAGATCCCGGAGGAAAAAAAAAAAACAGGTTCCAAAAAGAGCCGAGATCACCGGCAAGTCCCAGATGCGGTAGGTACCGCATCCCGCCTCCCCCAGATGGAACCCCGGTGACCAGAAGCCTCTACAAGCACAGCTCGAGTATGCGGGAACTAGGACGTTTTCTCAAAACCGCGCGGCCGCATATGCGGCCGCGCGACATCTCTCTATATACAAAGTGATCGATGGGAAGTAAACCACCCAACCTTTCTCCCTGAAAATCAGAGTTAAGTTTGGAGCATGGCCACAGCCCCAGAAACACAAGGACTTAATGCAGAACCCAGCAGCTTGGAGCAGAAAAGTGAACGGACTATGCGTTAATCCAGGCCATTATGTCTGCCCGGAGGGGAAAGGGTGTTGCCCCATTCGCCCTCTCTTCTCTGGAAAGAAAGATGGCAGCCGCATGGGAGCCTTGTGGACAGCAGGTATGAGCTGGGGGTGTGGGGGCGACTAAAACCTCATGGGAAGGGGGCGTTCCAGTCCATCCTTCATGCCCTACCGAGGTCACCAGTTGCCCCCCACTAGCGGCTCCCCAGCACGGCCACAGCCCCAGAAGCACAAGGACTTAATGCAGAACCCAGCAGCTTGGAGCAGAAAAGTGAATGGACTATGCGATAATCCAGGCCATCATGTCTGCCCAGAGGGGAAAGGGTGTTGTCCCATTCGCCCTCTCCTCTCTGGAAAGAAAGATGGCGGCCACATGGGAGCTTTGCGGACAGCAGGTATGAGCCGGGGGTATGGGGGCGACTAAAACCTCATGGGAAGGGGGCGTTCCAGTCCGTCCTTCATGCCCTACCGAGGTCACCAGTTCCCCCCGCGAGCGGCTCTCCAGCATGGCCACAGCCCCAGAAGCACAAGGACTTAATGCAGAACCCAGCAGCTTGGAGCAGAGAAGTGAACGGACTATGCGTTAATCCAGGCCATCAAGTCTGCCGGAGGAGAAAGGGTGTTGCTCCCTTCCGCCCTCCTCCCTCTGGAAAGAAAGATGGCGGCCACATGGGAGCCTTGCGGACAGCAGGTATGAGCCAGGGGTGTGGGGGCGACTAAAACCTCATGGGAAGGGGGACGTTCCGGTCCGTCCTTCACGCCCTACTGAGGTCACCAGTTGCCCCCCCCCTCCCCCCGCGAGCGGCTTTCCAGCACAACCACAGCCCCAGAAGCACAAGGACTTAATGCAGAACCCGGCAGCTTGGAGCAGAAAAGTGAATGGACTATGCGTTAATCCAGGCCATCAAGTCTTCCGGAGGGGAAAGGGTCTTGCTCCATTCGCCCTCTCCTCTCTGGAAAGAAAGATGGCGGCCGCATGGGAGCCTTGTGGACGGCAGGTATGAGTCAGGGGTGTGGGGGCGACTAAAACCTCATGGGAAGGGGGGCGTTTCGGTCCGCCCTTCAAGACCCAACTGAGGCCACCAGTTGTCCCCCACGAGCGGCTCTCCAGCACGGCCACGACTCCAGAACACAGAAACCAATTTCTTAACTATCCGACTTTCAGTAGAAATACTTCCAGGGTCAATAGGTAAAATAGCAGAAATCCAAAACCAACATTTAATTCTTGAACCCAGCTGTAGAAAGCAAATCACTTCACAATGCTTTTTCAGCATGTCTGATTTGGGGGGGGAGGGGGGTAAACTCTAAATAATAGTGGTGAATCTTTTATTGAAACAATGAATCTAATCAAAGCAGATAGAGTGTTAACTAGAATTCATCTACCTCACAGGGACTGGGAGGGGTGGGGGGGTGTGGTTTTATTGGGGTTCTTCATGGTAAAAAATAAGTATTGGTAAAGGGAAATGTGTTTGATATTTGCATGACTGAGACCTAAACCTGAAAGCTTTGTAACCTTTCCCACAGTGACTCAATAAATAAATTTAAAAAAATGCTCTACATCACTGATCGTCAGGGAGATGCTAATCAAAACAACAATGAGATATCATCTCACCCCATAGAGACTGGCACTCATCAAAAAGAACAACCAGTGCTGGCTTGGATGCGGGGAGAAAGGGACTCTCATTCAATGCTGGTGGGAATGCCGATTAGTCCAGCCCTTCTGGAAAACAATATGGACATTCCTAAGAAATCTAGGAATTGAGTTTCCATACAACCCAGGAACTCCACTTTTTTGTAATATACCCCAAGAGCCCAAAAACCAAATGGAGAAAAGACATTTGCCACCTTATGTTCCTTGCAACTCCATCCACAAAAGACAAAATCTGGAGAGAATCCAAGTGTCCAAGAGCAGATGACTGGATAAAGAAACTATGGTGCATATGCACAACAGAATATTATTTGGCCATAAGGAAAGATAAAGTCATGCAACGCACGGCTACATGGAGGGACTGGGAGAGTAAGTATCTTGCTCTTAGTCAGAAGGAGAGAGAACGACAAAATTTTCTCTCTAGTGTGAAGGATATCAAGAAACATAATGGTGGAACAACAAATACCCAGAGGCAGTGGAGACAAAGATCATTAGAACTGGCCTTCAGCAGGAAACAAGTCGTTTGAGAGAGTTTTGGGGTAAGACAGGGAGAGGCAACAGCTTGACGGAGGGAAGTATTCAACCAGGAGGAGGAGGCGATGCTATAAAGTAGTTAAGTGTTAGTATAAAGCCCCACTAACAACAGTACTGTAAACCACCGTGCAAGACCTTATAAAAAGAAAAAAGGAAAAGCACATTTCATAGAAGCAGACTGGTAGGTGGGAGGCAATGTCGGTTGGGGGTGGGGTGAAGGGAAGTAGAGTGGAGGGAATTGGACACTGGTGAAGGGAGCGTTGTTGAAATATTTTATGCCTGAAACTCAAGCATGAGTTACTGTAATTTCACAGTGACGACATTTTTAAGGGGGGAGGGGATTCTTGCACAGATTTCTGGAGGCCACTACCCTCTGTGACTAAGTCTGTAGACACAGGACAGACTTAGAGTCTGGGATCCCACCCAGCCCTCTCAGAGGATTGTTGGGTATTGGTTCTGGGTCCAGCACTATTAATCCCACCCAATCCTCTCCTGCTCAAAAAAGCAGCAGGAAAGAGATCAAGAGGGTCCATCTCTGAGCCCACTATCAGGAGATGAAGCTTCTGCCTAGGTATCATTGTGGAGTTTAGTTCTGATCAACACCTTCTGTATACACTATTGGGCCACTTTGGTGGAGGGAGGACTGTGGAACAGGTGGACTCAAACCCTCCCCGCCATTGCCTCAGCTCCCAGGAGATTGCTGGAATATGGTGAACAGACCATGTACTCCAGCCAAAACACTAAGGCTGTTACAAAGTACAGAATATTGCTATACACCCCAGATACCTCGTACTCTCTAAGGAAAGAAGGAAGGAAGGGAGGAAGAAAAGCAGAATGGAAGAATGGAAGGAAGGAAGGAAGGAAGGGAGGGAGGGAGGGAGGGAGGGAGGGAGGGAAGGGAGGGAGGGAGGGAGGGAGGAAGGAAGGAAGGAAGGAAGGAAGGAAGGAGGAAGGAAAGAAGGAAGGAAGGGAGGGAGGGAGGGAGGGAGGAAGGAAGGAAGGAAGGAAGGAAGGAAGGAGGGAGGGAGGGAAGGAAGGAAGGAAGGAGGAGGAAGGCAGGGAGGCAGGGAGGAAGGGAGGAAGGGAGGAAGAAAGGGAGATAGGGAGGGAGTCAGGAAGGAAGGGTGAGGTGGAGGGAGGAAGGAAGGAAGGAAGGAAGGAAGGAAGGAAGGAAGGAAGGGAGGGAGGGAGGGAGGGAGGGAGGAAGGAAGGAAGGAGGAAGGAAGGAAGGGAGGGAGGGAGGGAGGGAGGGAGGGAGGGAGGGAGGGAGGGAGGAAGGGAGGGAGGGAGGGAAGGAGGGAGGGAGGGAGGGAGGAAGGAGGAAGGAAGGAAGGGAGGGAGGGAGGGAGGGAGGGAGGGAGGGAGGAAGGAAGGAAGGAAGGAAGGAAGGGTGAGAGGGAGGGAGGGAGGGAGGTAGGAAGGAAGGAAGGGTGAGAGGGAGGGAGGGAGGGAGGTAGGAAGGAAGGAAGGAAGGAAGGAAGGAAGGAAGGAAGGAAGGGTGAGAGGGAGGGAGGGAGGGGGAGGAAGGCAGGGAGGCAGGGAGGAAGGAAGGAAGGAAGGAAGGAAGGAAGGAAGGAAGGAAGGAAGGAAGGAAGGAGGAAGGAGGGCGGGAGGGAGGGAGGAAGGGAGGGAGGGAGGGAGGGTGGGAGGAAGGAAGGAAGGAAGGAAGGAAGGAAGGAAGGAAGGAAGGAAGGAAGGAAGGGTTGGAGGGAGGAAGGAAGGAAGGAAGGAAGGAAGGGGGAGGAAGGCAGGGAGGCAGGGAGGAAGGGAGGAAGAAAGGGAGATAGGGAGGGAGTCAGGAAGGAAGGGTGAGATGGAGGGAGGAAGGAAGGAAGGAGGAAGGAGGGCAGGAAGGAGGGAGGGAGGGAGGAAGGGTGGGAGGAAGGAAGGAAGGAAGGAAGGGTGGGAGGGAGGAAGGAAGGAAGGAAGGAAGGAAGGGAGGGAGGGAGGGAGGAAGGAAGGGTGGAAGGAAGGAAGGAAGGAAGGAAGGAAGGAAGGAAGGAAGGAAGGGAGGGAGGGAGGGAGGGAGGAAGGAAGGAAGGAAGGAAGGGAGGGAGGGAGGAAGGAAGGGTGGGAGGGAGGGAGGAAGGAAGGAAGGGTGGGAGGAAGAAAGGAAGGAAGGAAGGAAGGAAGGAAGGAAGGAAGGAAGGGAGGGAGGGAGGAAGGAAGGAAGGGAGGGAGGGAGGAAGGAAGGAAGGGTGGGAGGAATAAAGGAAGGAAGGAAGGAAGGAAGGAAGGAAGGAAGGAAGGAAGGGAGGGAGGGAGGAAGGAAGGGTGGGAGGAAGGAAGGAAGGAAGGAAGGGTGGGAGGGAGGGAGGAAGTAAGGAAGGGTGGGAGGAAGGAAGGAAGGAAGGAAGGAAGGAAGGAAGGAAGGAAGGGGGAGGAAGGCAGGGAGGCAGGGAGGAAGGGAGGAAGAAAGGGAGATAGGGAGGGAGTCAGGAAGGAAGGGTGAGATGGAGGGAGGAAGGAAGGAAGGAGGAAGGAGGGCGGGAAGGAGGGAGGGAGGGAGGAAGGGTGGGAGGAAGGAAGGAAGGAAGGAAGGAAGGAAGGAAGGAAGGAAGGAAGGAAGGAAGGGAGGGAGGGAGGAAGGAAGGGTGGGAGGAAGGAAGGAAGGAAGGAAGGAAGGAAGGAAGGAAGGAAGGGTGGGAGGGAGGGAGGAAGGAAGGAAGGAAGGAAGGAAGGAAGGAAGGAAGGAAGGAAGGGAGGGAGGGAGGGAGGGAAGTCAAGGCGAGTCTGGGTTTTTCCAGCAAGCTCTGGACAAGGATGCCTCTTGTAAAGTGTTGGGCAGAGCTCGGGGGCAGGAACGGGGGCCACATTCAGTCCCACCTACTGGCAGGGGTAGCCCAGGCCAGACCATAGGCCTGCTGATGGGCCACAAGCATCTGCCACCTTTCTAACCCACTTCCCACCGTTCCCAGCACAGGCGTGGGCCCCAGGAACTATCCTTCCTGGGTGTTACTCCGACTGTCCCCCAGACAGTCTGATTTCACTGCCGCAGCTGGACATGGCAGGATCAGAGTAGGCTCCCACAGAGAGTTCTAAGTGGACTTCTCTGGGCCTGGCTGTTCTGCAACATTGCCCCCTGCCAGGCCGTGGGTCAGGGCAACTCCAGGATCGTGCTCATGCACAGAGTGAGCCTCGGACCAGACACGTTTCTCATGTCTGTTAGCCTCTTCTCCTCGCTCTCTGAGGCCATGGGAATTGCTGCTCCAATGTTTGCAGAAATCCAAGGCACAAGAGACTTGAGGATGGGTGAAATAATAGAAATAATGGCCCCACTCCCAGCAACAAAGGGTGCCCCAAGTGTCACTGGGTGCTGTTGGTGCTCACTGGGCACCCTAGAGGTGTGAATAGACCATGTACCCCAGCCATAACACTAACCAGCCCTTGGCTGAGAATTTCCAGGAGAGACTCTTATACACCTGAGCACCACTTGAGATGCTCTCCCAAAATAGAAATGATGCTTTTTTGTCACCTAAGAGACCAAATGTCTTCAGGGGATTGACTATAAAGAAAGGATTCCAGAGTTGACACAGATAAAGAATGGGTGATCTGAGCATTCCTGCATCACAGAGCACCCACACTGCACAAATTCTCCTCACCCTGTTCTTTTGCACCAAGCAATGTGTCACAGAAAAGAGCAAATCAATAAAATATTTTCTATAGGCATTTAAATTTTTTAGCATTAACTCTTAAGTTACCCTATTACATGGACTGGATCATTAAAATAACAAAATGTGAATTTAAATGGGGTTCAGCAAACATTAATGCAAAAAGACTTCTGCATCTATGTTCACTGGAGTTCTTAGTGCCATCGCTGGAATTGGAAACAACTCCAGTGTCCAGTGATGCACAGATGAATGACGAACTTCTAGCATATAGACTCAATGGACTCTACTATGCAACAATAAGGAAAGATAAAATCTTGCCCCGTAAATGGTACTTTGATAGTATCTAGTTAGGCAAAATCAGTCAAAAAAGAAGGACAAATGCCAGATAATTTTACTCATGTGTGACACACACAGAGAAATAAACAAAACAAGCCAATAGTCATCATAGAAAAATTACAAATCAGGATCAGAGTGATAGTACAGCAGCTTGGGTATTTGCCTTGCACGTGGCCACCCTGGGTTCAATCCCCAACACCCAATATAGTTCCCTGAGTCCCACCAGGAGTGATCCCTGAGTGCAGGGCCAACAATAAGCCCTGTGCATCACGGGGTGTGGCCCCCAAACAAACCAAAAACTGACAAATATTGGCATTGGATTGCAAAATTCAGAGTACCAAATGGGAGAAGGAGGGAAGGGTACTTACCTCTTTCTAGGGTGGACTAGAAATAGCCAACTAAAATGGTATATCATTTGGGTACATTACTGTGCAGTGCAATAATTTCATGAAAAACCATGAACACTAACTCCATTATGTTACTTAAAGTTACTGAATGTTATTTAAACTATGAAATAGAGACAGACAGATAGACAGGCAAAGCTGCTTCATTGCTAAGCTTCAATCACATCACACAGTCTATGTTATTGGAAGTATATGGTTAATCTCACTGATCTATGTCTCCATTGCAGACTCAAAATTGCATATCTTCTTAATACAGTGTAAGAGTTTTAAGGACCTCCGAATGTGGAGATTTTCTAGACTTACATCTGGATTTTATATCTGAAATTATGGTTCTACTGGTATGTGAAGGTGATATCAAAACAAAATAATCCAGATCAATAGTGGATCGCTGCACTCATCTGGTCCTTTCCAGGAAGTACTTAGATTTGACCAAGTTTGTCCAGGTGTGTTCAAGTGACACTCACTGGTCACTAACGAGAGCTCAGTGGGAAATCACTTTCCGGCAAATTGCTTTTTGGCAAGTCACTAGGCAGCAAATTGGGAGACAACAAATCACATTTCAACAAATGCTTCACAGCAAATCACTTAGGCAAATTGCTTCAGAGATGCCAGGCTTGAACTCGGGAGGTGGGGGTGGGGCGTAGGGAGGTTTCCAGAGCTGCTCCTGACCTTCACACTGGGGAATGTCGCAGTAGTCAAATCTGACATCCGGGTCCAGAGTGTAACACCAGGGTCCCTCATCATCGTTGTCTGGATTCCTGCAGTAATTCTCCTCCAGGCCCTCAGAAGGATATTTGTCAGGAGAATATCTGTGGGGGGTGGAAGACAGGTGTTTCACCTCTACGTTGTCCAGACAGGTCATCTCGGTCCCCATGATGCTTCAGCCTTCATTCTGGAGCTCCCAGGAAAGTCTGACTCTGCTCCTATGCCAGGACTAGGGTGCCCTCCTCACTGCCCCCGGAAGGAATCCCTGGGAGCCATGTGCCCTTTGCTGCCCGGCCCAGCAGGATGGTGGCTGTAGGGATGGGGGGCTCAGAGCTGCAGGAGGGGGGGGGTCTTACCTGGGTCTGTGCGGGAAGCGGTCACCCCACTTCTGACAGGTCAGGCCAGACTTTGTCATGGACATGGTCCCCCTGTACATCCTTCCGTTCCCAGTCATGCATCCTGAGAGATCTGCTGAAGGGGGTTCATTTCCCGGTTACGTGTTTATTTTTTGGTCTGGAGGCCATGTTTGGGGCTGCTCAGAGCATATTCCTAGTTCTGTGATCAGGGATCACTTCCGGCAGGCCTCGGGGTATTCTAGGAATACCGGGCAGTGCTAGGGAATGAGCCCAGGTCATCCGAATGCAAGCGAACTGTCTTAACCCCTGTACTATGCTTCTGGCCCCCATTCTTTCTTTCTAACTTCAATTTTTTGCTGTTTGTTTGGTTTTGAGAGGACACAGCCCAGCAGTGCTTGGGGCACTTTCCCAAATCTTTGCTCAGTGTTTGCTTCAACTGGTACTCTGAGGCTGATGGGACAGCAGCTTGCATCTGAGGCTGTGCTTCACCCACTGCACTGTCTCCCTGCTGCCCTGCCCTTTACCCTCACTCTGTTCTTTTATGAGAAATTTCACACGAGCATCAGGAGAGAAAGATGAAACGGGAGAGCCGAGTCTGTCAGGTGTGGATAGAAGGGTGCTTTGCAGAAGCATTAAAAGTCTAACACTAACTTCTATACCTCACATTCCTCTGTGATTAGGTCATGAGCTCAGACACAGACCCAGAGTCTCCTCCAGATCCCACCTGGAAATCCAACACATCCCTCCAGAAGGGATGCTGGATAGCAGACCTGGCCCTACCGCAGCATCCACCTCCTGCTTCAGATCTTGTCAGAAAGAGACACCAAAGCCATGGGATAAGGGAAAGGCTCCTGTGCCATAAGCAGCCGACCTGGGCTCGATCCCCACACCCGTATAGATCCATCACGAATGAGTCCTCAGTCAGAGGCAGGATTAAGCCCTGAGCACCACCAGGGATAGACCCCAGACAAAAACAAAAAGGGAAAACATAGAAAGTGCTAAAGAGAGGTAGCTCTGGGGGCACCAGCCCCAGCCCCAGCCAGGACGTGCGTCGCTGCCAAGCTGCTGTGTGCAGCATGGGGCTAGCAAGACGAGGGCACAGAACAGGCAGAGAGGAGACTCAACCCTCCCCAGCCTCTCCCAGAAGGAGGCATGGGAAGCTTCAGCACCTACAATTTGGGGAGATTACTGGTATCAGGGTTAGCCCATTCAAGAAGACGGACTCCAGGGCCAGCCTGGGGACTGCACCTCAGACCCCTGCAGCAATTCTGAAGGAATGGCAGGTGGGCTGCCAGCCCTGGAGATGACAGACAACAGGTCATGAAGTAAAGGGAAGCACAAAGTCACCAGAAGAGGGAGCACTTCAGTCCCATCAGCAGACACCTGGCTGGGGCAGGGGGTGGGGTGCAGGGGAAGTAGTTTACAAACCCCAGGCAGACTGAGGGATGCAGACCCAGGTTGGCTGCAGGCACGGCAAGTGCCCTATTCACTGCACCATCGCTCTGGCCCCTTAATAGTCTACTTTTAAAGTCAGTGCTGAAAAACTAACATGTCCTATTGAAAAAGTTTAAGTCCATGTTTTCTGCTACATTATAGGCACACAGGAGAGAGGGTCAGCAATGTGGGTGTTGGACACCAGTGTGGATCTTCTGTGCAGTTGCCGCTGAGCTCACCCAATACTTCATCAGCGTCAACTGTGGGGACCCTTTATTGTGGCAGTCTTGTGAGATTATTTGTCCCGATCAGTGACAGGAAAGAATTTGTTTTGGAGGGTGGGACTCCAAAGAGAACTCAGTGGGCCCTGGGCTCCCCCTGACAACTCTTAGCTCTTCAGGGGAGCGATCGGGTGGCTCCTTGTCCCAGTCACTCTTTTAAGCCGTGAAAAGCACAAGCTTGCAGTGTCCGTGCACTCCTCAGGGTCAGTCCTGACCAAGCTTTGCGGCAGTGTCCTGGGCCACAGGCTGGGGCAGCCCCGGGACCACACTAGTGCACAGACCAAGCCTTTCTTGGAGCTTTTCTGGCGCCTGCTAGCCTTTGTATAGCAGGTGCCCAACCAGCAACGGGGCCAAAATGGGACCCTGGGAAATGGAGAGACGATAGAAAGTTGATTCCGTCTGGAGCACCACATGGGCCATGGGCATCACAGGGCCCAAAGCTGCATATCCTCCAGTCCTAGAGCCAGATCACTCCCCTCAAGAGCTAAGAATTGTCAGGGGAAGCCCGGGGCCCACTGAGTTCCACTTTGAAGTCCCACCCCCCAAAACAAATTCTTTCCTGTCACTGATCGGGACAAATAATCTCATAAGACTGGCCACAATAAAGGGTCCCCACAGTTGACGCTGATGAAGTATTGGGTGAGCTCAGCGGCAACTGCACAGAAGATCCACACTGGTGTCCAACACCCGCATTGCTGACCCTCTCTCCTGTGTGCCTATAATGTAGCAGAAAACATGGACTTAAATGTTTTCAATAGGACATGTTAGTTTTTCAGCACTGACTTTAAAAGTAGACTATTATGGGGCCAGAGCGATGGTGCAGTGAATAGGCACTCGCCATGCATGCATCCAACCTGGGCTCTATCTAAGACATACCATATGGTCCCCCAAGCCCAGCAGGACTGATCCCTGAGCAGAGTCAGGATCAAGTTCTGAGGACTTCTGGTATGGCCTCAAAACAAAGAAACCACCACCAACAACAAAAGTAGGCTATGAAGTTGTCTGGGCCATTAAAATAATAAGCGAGGACTTTAAATGCTGGTTCAGTAAAAGCATTCATTCAGGAAAATATCTGCACACCTGTGTTCATTACAGTACTTAGTGATGTAGCTAAGAACTGAGCGCTGGAGAAGTCGTACAGCAGGTAGGGCACTTGTTTTGCACACGGCCAAGCCAGGTTTCATCCCTGACATCTACAAAAGTGATTGTTGAGTATAGCTAGGAGTAAGCTCTGAGCACAGTTGAGTGTCACCAAAAAATAAAAACAAAACAAAAAGGTATTGAGTATTAGAGTACAATATTAGACTGTCTGGGGCATTAAAATAGTACATGTGGATTTTTAAAAGCTGTTTCAGCAGAAACATTAATTCCTGAAGGCTTCTGCACACCTCTGTCTACTGCAGTGCTTAGTAACATAGCTGCAACCTGGAAACAAAGGTCCAGTGACAGATGAATGGACCACGAAACTGTGGTGCATATGCACAATGGAATGCGAGGCAGCAAGGATGATGTCTTGCAGTTTGCTGCATTTTGGATGAAACTGGAAGTAAATTAAGGTAAAAGGTAAAAGCCCTCCCGTTGATCATCGATTTGCTCGAGCGGGCCCAGTAACGTCTCCATTGGAGACTTTGTTGTTACTGTGTTTGGCATATCGAATACTCTCAGTAGCTTGCCGGGCTCTCCGAGAGGGGCGGAGGAATCGAACTCGGGTCGGCCATGTTGGCCGCTTGTAAGGCGAACGCCCTACCCGCTGTGCTATCGCTCAAGTACATTATATACAAAGCATACCGGTCCTTACCTTTGGGCCCCACGCTGGGTGCTAGATGTTGTACAAATATTTGTTCAGTCGGGAGCACTGAGACAAGGAACACAAGAGAAATTTTTTTTCATGCAGGATCACAGGAATTGCTCAGATCCTGTGACCAAGCGCTTAGAAACCAGGAACTAATAACTAACAAAGCCTTACAGAAAACCACTTTATAGAAAATCTCTATCCAGCAAGTCCTTTCATGGTAAATTATTTTCCACCAAGTCACTATATTGCAAATTGCTAGATGATATATCACTTTACTTCACAGCAATGCTGTATATCAAATAACTCTACTGCATGCTTTGGACAAACTGATTTACAGCCAATAGTTTTAAGGGTGCCAGACAAAAATGGGAGGCTTTCTAGAGCTGCTCCTGACCTTCACACTGGGGAATGTCGCAGTAGTCAAATCTGACATCCGGGTCCAGAGTGTAACACCAGGGTCCCTCGTCGTCGTTGTCTGGATTCCTGCAGTAATTCTCCTCCAGACCAGCAGAAGGATAATTTCTGGGTGAATATCTGTGAGAGTAGAAGGGGAACTCTTAGTTCTACACGGGAGAGAATAGGAGCCCCCATCTCTGGTGTAAGGGCATCCAAAGGAGTCTGAGGGCTTCACACGCACAGGAGAACCGCTGGCCTCCAGCGTCTGCTGATTCCTGGTGTCTGGGACCCCATTACAACACCCCGGCCAAGTCCTACCATCCAGTTTCCCAGCATAACTGTGTGAGCCACATACAGGACATTCACTCAAATCTTTCTGCTCTAGCATTCATGTTCTCCAGATAAAATCCCTACAATAGGTGCTCACCCACGTGTTAAGAGCCAGAGGCAGAGGCTCAGCTACGCAAATCAAAAGAACTCTTGCCTGAGCTTGATTGGAACCCAATGACACCAGCACGTAGCAGTGATGCTGCTGGCTCACCCCTGAATGTGGCCTCGTGGTTTCATAACAGAGGTGCATTGCTGGTGTCAGTGGCCTATGTCACATCTCAAGCACTTGATTCTACATCTGCCTGATTCCACTGCAGTGCTTTCTAAATATAGGGGGCCGGGATTGAATTATTGTTGGTTCTAGATACGACTGGCTGTGTAGCAATGAAAAAGCCCACCCACTAGCAATTGCACTCCTTGGAACCTCTTCCAGACCTGAAGCACCAACTTAGAAAAATAAGGCGCAAAATAATGATATTTGGAGCACCAGGATTTGGAAGCAGCCTGAGTGTCCAGCATGAGGTGGTTGGATAAAGAAGTTGCGATCTCGATACACACTGAACCTCACTGAGCTTGAAGAATAGGTGAAATCCTGCCTGTTATTACAACAGTGAGGGACTAGAGGTGCTCTGTAAAATGAAATAAGTCAGAGGAAGGAGGACTAAGGCCCTTCTCCTATGGGGGTATAAAGAATCAAAGCAAAGGATTGAAATCTGCCCAAACCTTTAGAACAATAATCCAAACCCCAATAACTCAAACCCTCAGACTCTGATACAGAATTGAGGTTAAAATGAGAATTATACTGTTCCCCTAAAATATCAACATGTCCACTCTTTTATAACGAGTACTCTAATTTAAAGCACCTAAATTTTTAAAATCTACTTTCTAATAGGAAAGTAGATCCCTGAGACTCGGAGTGTCAGGAGGCAGTTTTTGGTTCTGGGTCAAAGTCCCACCTCTGCCCTTGCCAGCTTCTCTGGGAACACTGACCTTCTGCCCGCAGCCTTGGCTTCCGTCCTGACCCCACTGTGTGTGGGACACTAGCCCTCTCATCTCCTAGGGGAGACAAGGCTCTTTGCTGCATGGGGTGCGGAGAGAGACCCTCACCCCTGCTGAGGGTCATGATAGGCCTCGTGCCCAAACTCGCTCAGGGAGCTGGGAAGAGTCACTGCAAGGCGACAATCCTTTGCTCACTCTTTGCTTCTCCAAAGGGAGGTGAGCCTTCCACCGGCGTCTGTTGGCCTGAGACTCAGGGTCCTGAATATGCTCCTCAGGGTCTATCTCAGACTCTGCCTAGGGTTCAAGGTCATCTTGTTCTCTGTGAAGCTGCCGCCTCCATTCTAGGTCTCTAAGAAAAGTGGAGGCTCGAGACCCAAAGCCACTGACCCTACTTCTGTGCCAGACTAGGGTGCCCCACTCACTGCCCGTGGGAGGGGCCTCTGGGAGCTGTGTGTCCTTTGTTGCTCGGCTCAGCAGCACGGTGGCTCTCAGGATCAAGGCTCAGAGCTGCATGATGGGGGAGGGATGGGGGTGGGGTCTTACTTGGGTCTGTGCGGAGAGCTGTCACTCCAGTTCTGACAGGTCAGCCCAGACTTCGTCGTGGACACAGTCCCCCTGTAGGTACTTCCATTCCCAGTCTTGCACTCTGAAATATACAAAAGGGGGTTCATCCCCCAATTACATTCCTTACCTTTATTAAAAACCTGTCTTTGGTTTGGGGTACCACAGGATTCAGGGGTGCTCGCGACTCACCCCTTGAAGGGCTCTGGGGCCCCATAGTTCTGGAGATCAAACCCAGGTCTCCCACATGCTAGCTCCTACTTGGCCCTTTGAGCCTCCCGGACCCAATCTGTTCCTTCTTAAGAAGCAGCAGCATGAGGAATCCTGGTGCTGACCACCCTGAGGGAATAGGGGGTGGGGGCATGGGCAGGCACCAGCTCCCCTAGTCCAAAGACTACACAAGCAGCCCCCACTGATTCCCCGTGGTGCTGGGAGTGGGAGGAGGCAGGGAAGGAGGAGGCAGGGCCTGTCCCTCTGGGGATCACACACTAGTGGAGTCAGGGGCTGCTGAGGCAGAAGGCAGCCACTAACCCAGATTCTGAATACAGAGACCCCCGATCGCAATGGCAGAATAAAAGAGATGGACTCAGCGTGCTTCTAGGGGTGGGTCTCCCTCCCCGATGCCACGGAGGGAAGCTCAGCGTGAACAGCGCACAGAGTCAACCTGCGAGTCTAGAGGGCGAGGGTGACCAGAGGGAGGTGTCACTGGTCTTGATTTCACTAATGATTGTCCACTGTCCCCTGGCTTAAGGCTGGGAGGATGAGCAAACACAGGCATCGAGCATTTCGGTGTCTGAAAATGTTATGCGTTACTCATGTTAATTGAGAATAAGAAATACTACTGCCTCTGTCAACCGAAATTGCTTCCTGGAGATTAACCAGCAGAATGGAGAGAGGGGTACCCAGCTCAGGTGTGTTCCCCAGAACTCCCAGGGACGAATTGTGGATGAATGACCAAGAAGCAGCCCCAGGGGGACAGGGGAGGTGATCTTGAAGACAATCACCTCCTCTTTTTCCTTGTCTTTCCCTCCTCCCTGCCCGCTCTGTCTCTACTACTGCCCCTGGTATCACTGAAGTGGACACAGAAGGAGTAGGTTGAGAAATCAGTCCCAGGCAGATTTTTTTTTCTCAAAATATTTGATATGCTTTTAAGGGCAATTCTATGGGTATGTTTGAGAAAATGTCTGAGGAAGGGCAGAATAACTGTTTCTAATCTAGATTTCTGCTGTGTGCATTTATTTCCATTTCAAATTCTTGCAGAACTACTCTGCAGCAGGGCTTCTTGGGAACATTGCTATCCCAATTCTACATCCGTCAACTAGGCCTTTTTCTGTTCTCTTCCTTATTATGGATGGCAATGGTAAGAATATGCAATCCCACCTTTCATCGTGGGAAGCTTCTGGAATGCATGCAGTGCTACGGATCTTACTTTGCGCTTCAGATTACCTTTCTCGGTCCTTCTGGAACTGCATTTGCCATCAGCTTTCTTGCACATGGGTGAAGAGTGAGCTCGGGAGGACAGGAGGTCTGAGTCTGCAGGGTGTGGCAGAAGGGCAGAGAGGTCATTGTGCAGGCACAGTCGAGGGGAGGAGCACAGACTTCAGGACCCCTCAACCCTCTGTCACTGAATTGTGGGCACAGGGTAGGCATCGTGTTATGGACCATCCTGGACTACACCTGGGAATCCCACCCAGGCCTCTGGGAAGGCTGTTGGATAGTGAGTCTGGTTCTGACACCAATTAATGCTACAGAAGTTAAGTTCTGGCTGAAGTAATAGCAGGAAAGAGATAAGGAGACATCTGGTCTCCCCAGGCCCCCGATGGCAGGAGCAGGAGTCACTGGAAACTATGAAATGGGGAGGTTGCTAGAAAATGGGGTGAGACTCTTAGCCCAGATCACTCAGTCTCTCCTAAGCAGGAGGTGGATCGGGGGAAGGGTGGTTGCTTGTCCTTGCCAGTGTGATGCTGGAGACTTCCTGGAAGGTGCCTCCAGGTCAATAAGCCAAGGGAAGGGCAAGCTCAGGGCAAGGGCGCCTTTCAATCAAACCTGGAGACACCACCCTGGAGGCACAGGAGGGAATTGGGATGGACACTCTGTGAAGTCCCACTGAGCGAACGCAGCTGTGAGGACCATCTCTTGCCCCTGGCCCTGAATGCCCCCAGCATCACTGGGGTGGCCCAGGTGCCCAATACTACCGGCCTGAACAGCATCACAGACCCAGGCCCTTCCTTTGAACTAATGACCCAGTTGGCCATAAAACACAAGTGGACTAACAAATTTTTGTGCTTGGGTTTCAGTTATACAATGATTGAACAAAAATTTGTAAGTCTACAACTGTACCTCATGGTGTTTCACTAATAAAAATTTTTAAAAAAATGAAAACCCAAAAAAATGCACTTTTAATGAATAATTTTTAGAATGCCTATTCATTAGATGTTACTGCTTCTTACATTCCTTGTCAGCAAGGTATTTATCCATGTTTTTGATATAATGTGACGAATCTATGGAAGTAGGTGCAGAAGAGAATGGTCACTGAGAGATATTGGGAATGCATTAACAATAATTTTGTACATTATATGTGAAAAAAAAAACTGAAGTGGAGTCTCCATACCTCCTGGGCACTGGTTGGGAACATTAAATAAAAAAGAAAATTTTAAAATAAAATAAAGTCTTGTAGTTTGCTGCAACTCAGGTATACTATGTTAATCATCAAATCATCAAAATCAACAAGAACAGATGATCCCCCTCATGGATGTGGCATAAGAAACAAAACAAGGGAACAGAAAATATTCAATGGCCAACCTTTTCTTAGGTGACAAAACTGATAACGAAGCAAGGGGACTTGCAGTTGGAGGATGATGAGGTGGACTAGATTAACACACAGACAGAGATAGACGGTGTCGGGCAATTTCACATATCTCAGTGATAACTGAAGAAAAGCAATCCAAGTCAAAACTCAGTCTCTGCACTTGTGTGTCTCTGCACTTGTATCGTCCTTCTGAAGAAAGACATGCATGATTTAAGCTTGTCTAACTTGGTGCTACTACGAGCAACAGCCCTATGTAAGTCTTTTTGTTTTGTTTTTTTTTAATTTTATTTTTATTAAAAGCACCATGATTTACAAAATTGTTTGGTTTAGAGTTGTTTCAGGCAATTTGTGTTCCAACATCACTTGTGTGACCTTCCCTCCACAAATGTCCCCATTTCCCCTCCCAATCCAGCCTGCACCTATATTACTTGCTCCAACAAAACTTTAAGAAATGCAAAATAGAATGTTCAGAAAATAAATCAGTAAGAGCAATATGTGATTGCTATATGATTTTGACCTATGTAAATAAGGAAAATAAAACCCTTCAATCAGGGCTGGAGCAATAGTACAGTAGGTAGGGCATTTGCCTTGCATGTGGCCTTCCTGAGTTCTAAAGCCCGGCATCCAATATGGTCCCCCAAGCACCGCCAAAAGTAATTCCTGAGTGCAGAGCCAGGAGTGAACCCTGAGCATCGGTGGGTGTGATCCAAAAAACAAAACCAACCAAACAAAAAACCAAACAAACAAAAAAACTTCAATCCAACATAAAATGCTTCTCATTTACAGAAGTAAGTTTTTCAACTCTGGAATATATTGTATTAAAATCATTTTATGAAAAACTGCTTCCTGGAAAATCACTCTACAGCAATGGTTTGGGGATGTAGGGCAGAGAGGGGAAGGCTTCCTAGAGCCGCTCCTGACCTCCACACCGGGGAATGTCGCAGTACTCAAATCTGACATCCGGGTCCAGAGTGTAACACCAGGGTCCCTCATCATCGTTGTCTGGATTCCTGCAGTAATTCTCCTCCAGGCCCGCAGAAGGATATTTGTCAGGAGAATAGCTGTGGAGGGTGGAAGAGAGCTGCTTCGACTCTATGTTCTCCACAACAGAATAGGACCACCACCACCACCCCATGCCCCCATCTGCGGTGGAAGGACATCTCCCAGTAGACCTGGGCTTCAAGCAGAATGTCATGATCCAAGCCTAGGCATTTCTGAATTGTTCCAGCACCTTCTAGCATCTGACATCTTTCTGCAAAACCCCAGGGGTTTTTGTCTTGTCTGTGAAAAAGGTTTCACGGAAACCTTTCTGCTCCAGTGCTCATGAGGTCCTACTAAACTCCCTGGCAGGAAGTCAGTCAAAAAGGAATCAAAGCCAAAGGAATCTTGTCTAGGTTTGACCTCAGGTTGCATCTTAGACATGTAAAGTTAAATGTGCCTGATTCAATGATGTGCTCTTGGAGTAGAGTGGGAGGTCAGCGTATCATGGGTTCTGGAGATGAGTTGTGTGTAGAGAAGAAATGAGACCCACTAGCAATTCCACTCCCTGCATCTATTTCCAGACACAAAACTTCAATTTGCAAAGATCCATCCTACTCATTGATCATTGCAGCACTAATGACAGTCGTTGGGATCTGGAAACAGCCCATGTGCCAAATAACAAATGAGTGGATGAAGAAACTGAGGTCTGTAACATAACGGAATACAAGTCAGCTTTAAGGCAAGGTGAGACCTTGCCTTTCTGACAACATGAGGGAACTAGGGGGTGTCATGTTAAGGAAAAATGTGTATACTCGGGCCCGTTTTTTGTGCCAGGAATAGGGGAGCCCTTCTCACTGTCCCTAGGAAAGTTCCCCGCATGCCGCGTGTCCCTGTTTGCTGTTTGGTACACAGGGCCACAGTTCTCAGGACAGCTCAGAGTTGCAGGAGGAGTCTTACTTGGGTCTGTGGGGGGAGCTGTCACCCCAGTTCTGGCAGGTCACACCAGACTTTGTCGTGGACTTGGTCCCCCTGTAGGTCCTTCCATTCCCGGTCATGCAGTCTGAAAGATACACTGGGTGGGGGGGAAACACACTGGCCTGGTTATGTTCTTCAGTACTTTTTTTTTAAATTAAAATATTTTCAATTTTGATGGCCACACCCAACAGTGCTTAGCAGCTATTCCTGCTCTGAGGTCTGGGGTCTCTCTCAGTGGTGCTCGGGCACCCTGCTCTGTGGGCCCAAGCCCAGGCTCCCACAATGCAAGTATATGCTCGTGCCATTCAGCCATCTCTGCCGCCTCGCTCCCACCCCTGAGAGGGTCTGTCAGGAGAAACGGCGGGAGGAAGCCCGGAGCCTTGACCACACTAAATCCAGGGTGGACAGGGACACCAAGACTGGCTTCTTCCATCAAAGAACCACACGCGCATTCACTGTTTTTAACAAAAATTCTTTTTTTTAAATTTTTATTAGTGAAACACCATGAGGTACAGTTGTAGGCTTACAAATTTGTGTGCTTGGATTTCAATTATACAATGATCAAACACCCATCCCTCCACCAGTGCCCATTTTCCACCACCACAGATCCCAGTATCCCTCCCACCCCCACTCCCCCCATGAGATAGCCCATTTAAAAGCTGCTCATGATTGAGTTTCAGTAATACAGTGTTCCAACACCCATTCCTCCACTAGTGTATACATTTCCCAGCACCAATGTTCCCAGTTTCCCTCCCTCCTCCCCCAACCCAGCTCCTCCCCTACCCCCGCCCCCCCCCACACACACAGCCTACCTCAAGGCAGGGACTTCTCTCTCTCCGCCTCTTTCTCTCTCTCCCTCCCTCTTTCTCTTTTTTCTCTCTCTCTTTTTCTCTCCTTCCCCTCTCTCTCCTCTCTCTCTCTCTCTCTCTCTCTCTCTCTCATTCCTTTTGGGCATTATGGTTTGCAATACAAATACTGAAAGTTTATCACGTATATCCCTTTACCTATTTTCAATACTCAGTTCTCATCCAGCATGATCATTTCTAACTATTATTGTCATACTGGTTTCTTCTCTGTCTTACCTACCCTCTACCCCACACACTTGTAGTAGATTCCAGTCACTGACCAGTCCTCCTGGCCCATGTTTTTCTTGGCCTTGGATATTAGTCTCATACTATTTTTCTTATGTACCACAAATGAACTACAAATATCTGTCCTTCTCCTTCTGACTCATTTCACTCAGCCTGATACTCTCCATATCCATCCATTTATAGCCAAATTTTATGATTTCTGATAACTGATTTTTATTGTTGTTTGGGTAACTTGATCACAATAACAGTAATGTGCACAGTACTGCAATGCAAGGTTACAGTACCCCACCCATGCCAAAGTGATCAATATCCTTCATCAGTGCTCTGATGTTGCACCTGGTCAGGCTTTTATTTCCCATTCACAGCTCCTCCTCCTCTCCTGAACATTCAGCTATGATTAGACTCTAAAAGTCAAGGGTTTGTTGGGGGCCAGAGCAATAGTGGGGAGGCCTTTTGCCTTGAACTTGGCTGACCCTGCTTCAATCCCTGGTATCCTATAAGGTCCCCCAGTCCCGCCAGGAGAAGTTCCTGTGTGTAGAACCAGGAGTAACCCCTGAGCATTGCTGGGTGTGCCCCTCCCCCCGCAAAAAACAACAACAACAACAACAAAAAAACAAGGGGTTGTCATGGTTTGATACTGTACATTCCCCTGTTTGGGCTCTCTGTATTCCACAGATCAATAAGGTCATCTGCTATTTCCATAGGACTTACTTTGCCTAGAATTATTCCCACCATTTCTGTCCGCATTGTAATAAACAGCAAAATTTTATCTTTGTATGGTTTCATAGCATTCCATTTTGTATATATTCCACAGTTTCTTTATCCAGTCCACAGTTTGCAGTATTAAGTACTGCAATGACATAGGTGTGTATATATCTTTTCAAGTTAATCCTTTTGTATTTGGGGTATAGATTCCAAGACATGGAATTACCAGGTCATGTGGAAGATCTATTCACACTTTTTTTTGAGGAATAGATATACTTTTTTTTTTCATAGAGACTGAACCAGGTGACATTGCTGCCAGTAGTGAGTGGAGATTCCTTTTCATCACCCTCCAGCCAGCACTGGTTGCATTCTCTTAGCTTTATGCCGTTCTCACTGGTGTGAAATGAAATCTAATTATTGATTTGATTTGCATTTTTCTGACAATAAGCGATGACAAACACTGTTTTATATGCCTACTGGCCATTGTATATCTTCTTTGCAAAATGCTTACTCTTCTCCACTTCCCATTTTTGATGGGATTATTGGACTTTTTTTGTGATTGTTAAACTTTGTGATTGTTTTGTAGATCCTGCATATTAGCCCTTTATCTGTTATTCTGTGTTCAAATATTTCCCTTATTAAGTATGGAGTCTTCTTATTTTCACCTGAGTTTCTTTGACACGCAAACACTTTTTCATCTGATGTGGTCCCATTTAGTTGTTTTTGTATTTGTTATCATTTCTAGTGGGATCCTACTGTTGGAGATATATCTGAGATTCATAGCCTACAGAATTCTTCTCACATCTTCCAAATGTATATTCTGGATTCTGGTGTGACGTCGAGTTCTTTCATTTGGGTTGTATGAAATTTTGTGAATTGTGTGAATGTAGACCCAGTTTCGTTACAAAAATAATAAGCATGTGGCTGTCCAGCTTTCCCAGAACCATTTTCCTTGCTACACTTCATGCACTCAGCCATTTTACCATAGATTCACTGCCCATAAATATGATGGTTTCTCTCTGGTCTCTCTCTTCTGCTCCATTGGTCTGAGAGGAACCTCTACTCAAGGGCCACACAATTGGGGTGGGGTGGGGGATCCACACAGCGGTACTCAGGGGTTACTCCTGGTTCTTCACTCAAGAATCACTCCTGGTGGTGCTCAGGGAACCATATGAGATGCTGGGGATCGAATCTGGGTCGGCTGCATGCAAGACAAGCACCTTACCTACTATACTATCTCTTAGGCCCCCAGTGCCACACAACTTTGATCACTTTAGCTCCACATTATAAAGTTATGGAAAGCAATATGGCCCATCTTCTTTTTCTCAGAATTCCTAAGACTATTCAGAGATTTGTATGGTTCCATACAAATTTCAATAGGGTTTTTTGAAGTCCCTTATGATTGTCATTGAAATTCTTGTGCGAATTGCATTGAATCTGTATGATGCTTTTGGTAGGATGGCCATTTTAACCACGTGAATTCTTCCCAGCCATTAACGTGGAATATTTTTTATTTCCTAGTGTCCTTTTCTGCTTCTTTCAATAGGGATGCATGGTTTTCAATAAACTAGTGTTTCACATTCTTTGTGCAGATTCCTCGGTATTTTATGTCTGGGGATCCTGCTTTAAGTGGTATCATCTTTTTTATTCCCTTCACTTCGTTTATTGTTTGTGTATGAAATGAAACATACTTTTGTGTATGAAATGAAACATATCTTGTAGCCTGCTATTTTTCTATATTGACTGAAAAGGGAGTCTTTAGAGTGTTCCATGTCTATTATCATGCCTTCTGCAACTAGTGATAGTTTGAATTCCTTTTTTCAAATTTGGATTCCTTCTATTTCTTTTTCTTGCTTGATTTATGTGGCAATGACTTTCATATATGTTGAAAAATAGTGAAGACAACACCCTAAAGGAAAGAGAGAGCAAAAAGGAATGCCCTGACATAGAGGTGGGACGGGGTGGGGGAGAATGGGGCAGGGTGGGAGGGTTACTGGGTTCATTGGTGGTGGAGAATGGGCACTGGTGGAGGGATGGGTACTTGATAATTGTATAACTGAAACCCAAACATAAAAATATGTAAGTCTACAACTGTACCTCATGGTGTTTCACTAATAAAATAAATAAATCAATAAATAAAAATTAAAAGAAAAATAGTGAAGAAACTGGACATCCTTGTCTTGTATCTAATCTCAGAAAGGAAGATTTCAGATTTTTGCCATTGAGTATGAGACTGACTGTATGTTTTGCAAATGTTCATTACAATGTTGAGGTTATTTCCTTCTATCCCTATTTTGTTGAAGATTTTTATCATGAATGGATATTGAATCTTGTCAAAAACTTTCTCTACATTGATTAATATTATATTACTTTTATCTTTTATTTTGTTGCATGGTAATTACATTAATTGATTTGCATACTTTGAACATTCTTGTATTCAGGGAGGAATCCCAGTTGGTCATGGTATCTGATTCTTTAGGCATATTTTCAATTCAAAAAATAGTTTATTGAGGATCTTTGCATTGATGTTCATCAGAAATATTGTTCTGCAATTTTCTGTTTTAGTAATAGCTCTCTGTCTGATTTATGTATTAGAGTAATGTTGACTTTATAGAAGCTATTAGGAAGGATTCCTGTTTGGGGTTTTTTTTTGTATTTTGGAAGAGTCTGGGGTGTTTAGGTAGTAAGTCTTCTTTAAAAGTTTGTCAGAACTCACTAGTGAACTTATACAAATCAATTCTTTTCTTCTTGGGGAGATACTGTATTATTCTTTCATATTGCTTACTTATGATTGGTCTTCCCTCCTGATTTAATCTTGAAGGGTTATATGATTATAACCATTTCTTCTCGGTTCTTTAGCTTAATGGCATCAAATCATTCGTGGCAACCTCTTCTGTTCTTTTATATTTCTGAAGTCTATTGTATTTCTCTCCTTTCATCTTTGATATGCTTTTTTTTACTTTCTTACTCATTTTCCTCTGGTGCTAGCTAACGGTTTGCCAATCTTGTTTTGGTTTGGTTTGGTTTGGTTTGGTTTTTAAAAAAAGATAATAAATGCCCCTGGGATGGAGCTTGGACACCTCCAAGTTCCACAATCTTGACAGCCCAGTAAAAGCACAGAAAATTAAATGGAAAAGTAACATAGAAGCCAACTAAGATCAGTAAACAAAAATAATAACTCATAAGGATCAACTAGCCATAGCCAGCTTAGTAAACCCTCAGACAAGGACTTAATGACCCCAAAACAATTTCCACAAATTTTCTTTTACTGACGTGTTTTTCTTGATAGTTCCAGACTCTCAGTCCCGTGTGACAGACTCACAGGTCTCAGCCATGCAGAGTGTCATGGACTCTCTAGGCCAGGCTGAGATCCCACAGGTCTTGAGGGGGTGATGCTGGACAGAACTCTGGTTCCAACACCAACTGGTGCCACCAAAGAGAATTTCAGCTTTTTAAAAGAATAGACAACCTGGCAGGCTACCGAATGTAACCTGCCCACATGGCAGAGTCTGACAAACTCCCCGTAGCATACCCAATATGCCAAATACCAGTAACAATGATGTGTCTCATTCTCCTAACCCTGAAAGAGCCTTGAATATGGCATTTTTTTAAAAATCTCAGGGCTAGGACAAAGGAGACCTTACTGGGGCCTGCTCGAGGCAATCGACGAACAACAGGATGGTCGTGATCGTTGTGGCAAAAGATAGATAAAAAAAATATATTGAAGCTGCGACCACTTTCAGGTGAGTAAGTCCATGCCTGGGAGTTTGTATAAGTTCAGTCCTACACTGCCACCAACTACATGCAGTAATTGGGTTACCTTGGTGGATGATTCTAGAAGACACAGAGATCACACCTCTGCCCTTGCTCCTGCTCCCCTGACAGAAAGTGAGCAGGAAGTGATTTGGAGAGATTGTTGTTATCAGGATGAATCTGCTACTGAGAAGGAACCTGGCCTGGCCCAGGGCCTGCATACCAGATCCCTCGGGATCTCTTAGAAAGGAAGGACAGGCTGTGCTCCGATCTGCCCTGAGCCAAAGTGCTGGTCAGGAATGAAAGGAAATGGCTACCCAAGGGGAGAGCCCTACTTCCTCTGCAAACACATGCTTGAGGGATTAGGACCAAGTCAGAGGATCGGGGCTGAACAGCCATGGGCATTGCCGCCTTTCTGCCCCCACCACCCACCTTCCCCAACCCCTCCCCACCTAAGGACTGTACTCCCCGCTCATTCTGTGCCTGCACACCTCCTGTTGCTCCCATTCATACCAGGTCATTTCAAGGTGCTCATAAAGTGGAAAATTTAAGAAACAAATCACGATCTTTGTCTCATCTAAATGTCTCTAAGGTTTCAAGAGCCACCAGCCCCAACTATCAGGCCCAAACCTAGATCACACTGTAAGGCAAGATGAAGAAGCCAAGATCATAAGGAGCCTTGAGACTATTCCATCAGTCTTAAAATAGAGACCTGATTATCTTCTTTCAAGGTCATAGAGCTAGAAATGCTTAGGTCAATCCAACCCCTTATTTTCATTGTTTTTAAGCCTCCTAAAAGGGGCTTCCAAGACATAGTACAGTGAGGAAAGTATTTGCCTTGAATGTGACCCCCCGCAAAACATAATGTCCAAGGAATAATCCCCAAGTGCAGAGTCAGGAGTAAGACCTGAGCACAGCCAAACGTAGACCCAAAACAAAAACAAACAAACAAACAAACAAAAACCTATCTAAAAGGCCAGTGGCCATGTCTTGTTCTGACTGGGCATTCTGTGCTGAGTGTCTCCACCAGGACTGATCATGGACAGACAGGAAGGGAGAGAGAGTAGGAAGAGGGATCTGGGGGACGAGCAAATGGACACACCTTTCTTTTCAAAGAGAATCACGTCTGTCATGCGGGTCACGGGTGCCGTCCTGCTGTTCTCAGCCATGATCACGCACTGTTGCTCCTTGCTGTGGAAATGGAAGGACCTGCGGAGAGAACCGGACGTGGGCGCATTCCTGTATCAAGGGCAGCAGAGTGAACCCAGGGTGCTGTCTCTGAGGGGTGGAGGAGCTCAAAGCTGGGAAGAATCAAGAAGCTTCTGGAAATGGTGCCCCCACCTTGCTGCTCCTCTTCACTGCAACCAGACACTTCCTCTTTCCATATTCTCTTTTTCAATGACTCTGCTTTTATTTTTTAATTTTTTAAATTTTTTTTATTAGTGAGACACCATGAGGTACAGTCGTAGATTTACCGCACACATGAAGGTACTGGCAGAGGGACAAATCCACGCGGGTTCCGGGGCCGAGATCTCCAAGCCTACTCGGATTGGAGTCGAGCATCCTCCACCCAGATCCTCCAAATTCCAGTAGGCGGGGGTCACACCCACCACCTGGCCCCCTGGCGCCGTGTAATCCCATCAACGGCCAAGACTCAGAGACTATAAAATCCAGCTCCCGGACATCTTATCAGGACATCTTTTTATGACATCTTATTATCTCATTCCTACTTTGGATAAACTTGCAGGCTATCGAATGTAGCCTGCCCACAGGGCAGAGTCTGGCAAACTCCCCGTGGCATACCAAATATGCCAAATACCAGTAACAATAATGGGTCTCATTCTCCTAAAGAGCCTTGAATATAATCTCAGGGCTAGGATGAAAGAGACATTACTGGGGCCTGCTCGAGGCAATCGACGAATAACAGGATGATGAAATGAAAATGAAATTAGTGAGACACCATGAGGTACAGTCGTATTTACAAATTTACAGATTTACAAATTTTGTGCTTGGGTTTCAATTATACAATGATCAAATACCCATCCCTCCACCAGTGCCCATTTCCCACCACCACGGATTTTTATTGAATCACTGTGAGATATACAGTTGCAAGGTTGTTCATAATTTGGTTTCCATTATATAATGTTCCAAAACCCATTCCTTTACCAGTGCACATTCTCACCACCAATGTCCCCAGTTTCCTTCCTGCCCCCCACCTGCATATCTCTCTCTGTCTCTCTCTCTCTCTCTCTCTCTCTCTCTCTCTCTGAATTACAAGCCAATATCCTTTGTGAGTTTCCAGGAAAATATGGGCATGCAGCATGCAGGACTCAAGTGTTCGGTGGCTGAGAACCATTCCCCTGGCCAATCCACGACGATGTAGAGACAAAAGACCGGGTAATGGAAACAGAGAAACAGGGCCCCAGGCTTGTTGGTAGTCAGTTTATTTTTCTCTCCTCCCCAGCATGGTCTAATCTCTCCCCTTACAGCACAATCCTTGTTGTAGTTTTGGTCGTAGTCCTAGTCATCATAGTTTCCTCATCCTCATCCCCTCTTTCCCTTTACAGCATAGTTAGACAGAAATCATGAAGGGTGGGGGTCCACATAGGTGGGGTTTAACATTGCCATAACAACAAACAGAGGTAAAGCCACTCCTTCAGGAGAAGTTCCTGGAGATTAATTCAAGGACAAAGTCTCAAATGAGGGTTCATCACTCCAGATTACTAGGAGATTTGCTCAAGGGCTGGGTTCCATCTAGGGTGTATTGCTTTCTCCTTTCCTCAGCTAGTAATTCATTTAAGCAAACATAGTAAGTTTACTTCTTACTAATATTTCTAGCCAATTTGTATAAACATAGTAAGAGATAAATTAAACTTAAAGTTTGGTTCTTCCTGGGGACATCTCACTATATATCCCAGACTATAGTCCTCAGGCTAGGTTAGTTTTTCCTAACTCCAGCATGTCCTTATTCAGTTATTTCTTTTTGGGTCGTGACAGAGTTTGTCATGACCATACTCTTTTTTTTATATAATTTATTTATTTATTGAATCACTGTGGGAAAAGTTACAGAGCTTTCGGGTTTAGGTCTCAGTCATGTAGATACCGAACACATTTCCCTTTACCAATAATCATTTTTAACCCCGAACCCCAATAGACCCCCACCTCCCACCCCTCCCAATTCTTGTGAGGCAGATGAGTTCTAGTTAATACTCTATCTACTTTGACTAGATAGATTATTTCGATAGAAGATGCACAATTATTGTTTAGAGTTTACGACGACCCCCCACAATCAGACATGCTGAAACAGCGTTGTGAAATGATTTGCTTTCTACAACTTGGTTTAAGAATAAAATGATGTTGCGCGGCCGCAATAGCAGCCGCGCGGTTTTGAATTTCTGCTATTTTACTTATTGACCCTGGAAGAATTTCTATTAAAAGTTAGCTAGTTAAGAGATTGGTTTCTCAAAGTATGAGATTAATACCCAAGAATAGCTGAGATCAGCACCAGGAGGATTACTCCATAACTTAGAGGCCAGCCGGGTATCCTAGAGGAAAGGGCTATTCAGATAGAGAAGGGAGCACCAAATAAAGGATGTTTGGAGGATCCTCCCAGGAGGGGAGATGCATGTCGAAAGTAGACTATGGACTGAACATGTTTGCCACTCAATGCCTCTTTTGCAGACCACAACACCCAAAAGGAGAGAGAGAACACAGGGGATTGCCCTGCCACAGAGACGGGGGGATGGGGGGATGGGGGTGGGAGGGATATTATCCATGGTGGTGGAAAATGGGCACTGGTGGAGGGATGGGTATCTGATCATTGTATAATTGAAACCAAAGCACAAAAAATTGTAAATCTACAACTTTAAAAAAAATAAAATAAAATAAAGGGGGAAAAAAAAGAAAAAAAAAAGAGATTGGTTTCTGTGCCCTGGAGTCGTGGCCGTGCCGGAGAGCCGCTCGTGGGGGGCAGCTGGCGACCTCGGTGGGGCGTGGGGGACGGCCCACAAAGCCCCCCTTCCCATGAGGTCCCCGCCGCTCCCCCGAGCCCGGCTCAAACCTGCTTTCCACAAGGCTCCCGTGCGGCCGCCATCTTTCTTTCCAGAGAGCTGTCATGACCATACTCTTAACTTATTATGCTTTTTATGGCACTTAGCTTGTCCCTTTCCCATGCCAGGGTAGCTTACAGCTTTCCCTGGGTCCATCCTTGTCCCTCGCTGGGACCCTCCTTTTGGGGGTGTTAGGAAGCAAAGGCAACTGAGGCTTAAGTCAAGCAAAGATGATGAATGTCCAGGAGTAAATATTATTTGAAGTCAATTAACTCCCATGTTACAAAAGCACAGCATCCCTGTGTCTATACAAAAAGGAGATTGCTAAACCATGCAAGTGACATAAGGGAAAAAGAAAAGCAATATAGGATTATTGGTGCCTGATGAAATTGGGTATGCCTCAGAGGCACTGTTGTGGGAGTAACTGAATATACCTAAGCTTTCTTTGGGAGTACCAAGGATAAGCCAGTGTTATCCAACAATCCCTGATGAACACAGATGAAAAGACCCTCAACAAAATTCTAGCAAATAGAACCCGACTGTTTGCTAGAATAGTCATATTGTATAATAGATTCTAGCAAATATCAATAGGGCTGGAGCGATAGCACAGAGGGTAGGGCGTTTGCCTTGCACGTAGCCAACCCAGGTTTGATTCCTCCATCTCTCTTGGAGAGCCTGGCAAGCTACTGAGAGTATCCAGCCCACATGGCAGATCCTGGCAAGCTCCCTATGGTGTATTCAATATGCCAAAAACAGTAACAACAAGTCTCACAAAGGAGACGTTACTGGTGCCAGCTCTAGCAAATCAATGAACAACAGAACGACAGTGCTATAGTGATACAGTGCAGAATCCGACAAGTCCTCAAAGAGACCATACACCAGGACCAAGTAGAATGTATCACAGGAATGCAAGGATGGTTTAACATTTGCAAGTCAATCAAACATAATACTGTCACTGTCACTGTACTCCCGTTGTTCATTGATTTGCTCAAGCGGGCCCAGTAACATCTCCATTGTGACACTTGTTACTGTATTTGGCATATCAAATATGTCATGGGTAGCTTGCCAGGCTTTGCTGTGTGGGTGAGATACTCTCGGTAGCTTGCCGGGCTCTCCAAGATGGGTGGAGGAATCGAACCTGGGTCAGCCGGGTTGGCTACGTGCAAGGTAAATGCCCTACCCTCTGTGCTATTGCTCCAGCCCAATGTAACACACCATAACAAAAAAAATTTTTTAATGAAACCATACAATCATATCAATAGATGCAGAGAAAGCATTTGACAAGATCTAGGACCCATTTATGATAAATACTCTCAACAAAGTGGGAGTTAAAGGAACATTCCTCAATGTAGTCAAAGCCATCTATAACAAGCCCACAGCAGTCGTTATTCTCAATGGGGAAAAATAAACTTTTTTAAAACTCAATGAGTTTCCTAGTATTGGCTTCAGTGTGGAAGACAGTAGATTTGGTTACAACAAAGCAATCTCAAGATGGTGTCACTTGGGCCACACTCCCTGGACACAGCCTCTAGAGACCACTCCCCAAAACAACCTACCCATGCAGGAGGTCCCTGAGGCATGTCCCCTGACACCTCTACAACGCCCTCCTCACACCTCCCTACCTGCACAGAGGGTGCTGGTCTTCTAGGCCATTCTTACCCACCTTACACCCTCCTCATGCACCGACCCTCTGCTGTAGCCACCAGGTCCACTCAGTGTCCTATCTGTGCCCCTCCCACCTCAGTGAATCCATCTAGAGATCACAGCCCTGAGAACTCCAGCTCAAGCCTCCACTTCACCCAAGTCTTCACACAGGCTCCACCCCTGAAAATTCCTCTTTTCTCCCATTATTGTTAAGGATGTGCTGACAATACCATGTGCCAGTACACTGCCCTGGCTGTCTAGTTAAAAATGTCCTTTTCCAGGGCTGGAGCGATAGCACAGTGAGTAGGGAATTTGCCTTGCATGTGGCTGACCCAGGTTCGATTCCCAGCATCCCATATGGTTCCCGGGACACCGCTAGGAGTAATTCCTAAATGCATGAGCCAGAAGTATAGCCGGGTGTGACCCGAAAAGAAAAAAAAAAACTTCTTTTCCATCACAACCAGAGTCTGTGGCTGCAGCAGACACAACCAGGCAGACACACACTCCTGCAAGGCTTCTTCCCGGTACCCACTATGGTTCCAGCTCCCACCCTGGGTCTCTGCATCCAGGTGGCATTGCTCCTTCCAGTCTTTCATTCCCACGACCCCTGTAAATATTCCCTGGTGATATACAAACGAGAATGCAGAGCAGCCTCTGTGGGTGTCAGGCATGAAAACAAATCAGTTCTTTGAGGGTACTTTTCTAACAAGGAACACTAATAAACAGTAATGAGAAATCGTTAGAAGACTTTCAGATGCAGGAACAAGTACAAGCTAAAAACTCCAACACCATACAATTCCTCTTTCTTACAAAATCCTATTTTTCATTTATTTTTATTTGGGGGACCCTGACCCAGTGCATGGGGGTCCATGCATCGCCAGGGAACAAACAGCCTGCCACATGCAAAGCCTGTGTTCGGTCAGTGTACGTTCTCTGGCCCTGAAATCCTACTTCTGTCAGTAGACCCAGGAACAAATCCCTTGATACCGACTCACTTGTCTCTGACAGCAAACCATCACCAGGGCAGCTTGGGACAGTTCAGTACCTGCAGATGAATCCCGTTTCCTTCTCACACCCGGAAGCACAGTCCTCAATGCTTTTGGCCTCCAGCTGCTGCTCCTTGAAACTGAATAGCAAGGTCCCCTGGGTGCTCACATAGTCCTCAAGGGACGTTCCAAGACCTGAAAATGAAGACAGACAAGGCACAACTGGGAAAACCCACTCAATGGCAAAAGATCACTGATTGTCTATTATGGGATTGATTGATAGATTGATTGATATCCAGAAAAAATATCCAAAACCATCAGAAACTGGGAAGATGCGATGAACAGAAACTCCTCCAAAGAAGACATACAGATGGTCAAAAGGCATATGGAAAAAATACTCTGCATCACTTATATTCAGGGAGATGCAAGGCAAAACAACCAGGAGATATCATCTCACCCCACAGAGACTGGCTTACATCAAAAAGAACTAAACTATCAATGTTGGCATGGGTGTGGGGAGAAATGGACCTTAATTTACAGTTGGATGTCAACTGATTCAACCCTTTTGAAAAACAATATGGAAAAATCTCAAAAAACTAGAACATGCTTCCATATGACCCGACAATTCCACTTCTTGGAATATATCCCAAAGACCAAAAAATCACAAACACAAATCACAAATCATCCTGTTAATCGTTGATTGCCTCGAGCAGGCCCCAGTAATGTCTCCTTCATCCTAGCCCTGAGATTATATTCAAGGTTCTTTAGGAGAACGAGACCCATCATTGTTACTGGTATTTGGCATATTGGGTACAACACAGGGAGTTTGCCAGACTCTGCCGTGTGGGCAGGCTACATTCGGTAGCCTGCCAGTTTGTCCAAAGTAGAAATGAGATAATAAGATGTCATAATAGGGTGTCATGCGGCCGCTGGAATTTGGAGGATCTGGGTGGAGGATGCTCGGCCCAAATCCGAGTAGGCTTGGAGATCTCGGCCCCGGAACCCGCGTGACTTTGTCCCTCTGCCAGTACCTTCATGTGTGCGAAGAGTGGTCTCAGCATGGTGGTGGCTGGTCCTGGAGGTCATTGGCTGCTGGAACCCTGGTCGGGGCGGGGAGGAAATCTCAACCCGCTCCTCTCCAAGGGGCCCCAGCAGCGAGGACAGTCAGGCACGGGGTCAGGAGACTGAACTGTTCTTCCGGGAGCTGGTTTTTATAGTCTCTGAGTCTTGGTCATTGATGGGATTACATGGCGCCAGGGGGCCAGTTGGTGGGTGTGACCCCCACCTACTGGAATTCGGATTTGGGACGAGCATCCTCCACCCAGATCCTCCAAAGACCAAAAAAAAAAAAATGCCAAGCAAACCAATGCAGAAAAGCCATTTGCAATCCTATGTTCATTGCAGCCCTATTCATAATAGCCAAAATCTGGAAACACCCCAAGTGCCTGAGAACGAATGAGTGGATAAAGAAAATGTGGTACATCTATATAACGGAATACTACTCAGCCCTAAATAAAGATGCTCAGCCCTAAGTAAAGATGGAGCCATGCAATTCCTGCTGTGTGGTTGAATCTGGAAGTATTGTCTGAGTGAAGACAGTCAGTGAGAGAGAAACAGACACAGAATGATCTGTCTTGCATGCAGGATGTAAAGAAATATAGTAGGGGAATAACAGCTGCCCCAAGGGATAAAACTAAGAAAATGAGAGGGTATGGTGCCGCCAGCAGGTCAATCTGTACCTGTGAGGCGAGTGCATCAGCAGCCTGATGGCACCTTCAGACTTCCAGATACCCCAAAATTGCTACCGTGCCTTTGGCCAGAACCCAAAAACTTGGGGCAAAGTTTACCAAGAAAGTAAACGGCCAAAAGTTAGGTATGTGGGAGACACACCCACAAACCACCTCTGGCTCAGCTATATAATTAGACAAATGGCCTCTCTGGTTCCTGATTGAACTGCTTAATGGCCATGATCCCAGAGACTCAGAAACAAATCTCGAAACCCAGTTTCTTTTGGCAGAAATGCATCCGGTTCCTGCAGTAAGTTACCAGTGCTGGACCAACCCAGGTGGGAATAGGTTTCGTGCCTTAACCTGTTCCTCCTGGCGGCCCAGTGGCCGCCATCCTCCAGAGGCCACTGGATAGTCAGGTTTGGGTTCACAGTGATGAAATTTGTTGGACCTCACGGGATGGGGTGGAGCCAGTCCTGTCCTCCCCACCCCAACAAGACCCCAAGTCATCACCCACGAATGGCCTTTCTGGCTCCTGATCAAGCTGCTTAACGGACATGATCCCAGAAACTCAGGAGCAAATCTCAGAACCCAGCAGGTTTTGGCAGAAATCCCTCCAGATTTAAGTGTTAAAATTTCTGAATTTCAAAATCGCATGGCCACTAATGCAGCCACGTGATACCATATGTTATTTATAACCAGCAATAGAAAACAAATTGTCTCCTGTTGCCTTTTCAGCAGATCTGAGTGTTGGGGTAAAATCTCAAAAAATAATGGTGGGTCTGGTGTCAAAATATTGAATGTGATCAAAGTAGAAAGAGAGTAATGTGGAAATCATCTGCCCCACAGGTAGGGGGAGGGTGTGGGATGGGGGTATACTGGGGTTGTTAGGGGTGGAGAATGGGCACTGGTGAAGGTACGGGTGTTTCTTTGTATGACCGAGACTTAGACCCGAAAGCTTTGTAACTGCCCTCATGGTGATTCAATAAATAAAATTATAAAAATAAATAAATAAATAAATAAATAAATAAAAACAAGGAAAAACAAAACTAAGAACATGAGAATTGGCCCTTCATAGGAATCGTGCCTCTGGGCAGGATAGGAGAAGGAAAGGAACACTAACATGCTTACATGATACCCCATCAGTAACAGTTTTGTAAACCACAGAACCTAAAAGAAAAAGGTGGGGCAGGAAATGTGTCTGCCATGAAGGCGGGGTTGGGCAGAGGGTGAAAGCAAAATCGAGGGTATTGGTGGAGGGAAGAGGGCTCTGGTAAAGGGATTGGTGTTGGAACATTGTATGCCTGAAACTCAATCATTAATAACTATAACTCATGATAGCTCAATGAATTTTTCTTAATTTTTTTGTCACTGCTTGGTTACCAGTAGGATGAGGGTTTGATATAAAAACATGTTTGGAAACAATTGCAGTAACAGAAAGGAAAGGTCCTCAAGACTGATGGGTGAGGGGCCAGAGTGATGGTACAGCGGGTAGGGTGTTTGCCTTGCATGTGGAACCCCGTGGTTCCCAGAGCCCAGCAGGAGTGACCACCAAGCACAGGACCAGGAGTAAACCCTGAGCACAGCCTGCTGTGACCCAAAGACTGATGGATGCACACAGAGTTCTCTAAGACTTTTTTCCCCCTGGTCGTTGTGCCACACCTGTGGTGCTCCGGTACCATTTCTGTCAGTACTCAAGGCACCACAGGTGGTGCTGGGGATTTATCCTGGGTTAGCTCAGTGCAAGGCCTCACCTACTGTACTGTGCAGCACCAGACTGACTTACAACTTCTACATTACTTCACAGACAGGCATAAGACCTAAAATAAGGACACTGGATATGCTTGCTCTAATCACCTTGTCATAGAAACAAGTTTGCCAAAAGTGAAAGTTTACCCCCATGGATGTGGGCTGTCCTTCTCTGGGCAGACAGAGAATTTTAGCTGGTTTCCAACCATCTCATCCATGCGGGTGACACTGTCACCTTTTCAGATGGGATAAACACACCCAAAGGGTCCCACCTGGACACAGGTCAGACCTGCACTAAATCTCTCCCAAATGCTGGGGTGCGTCCCACTGGGCTCATCCCCAAGACACATGATGGGAATCAGGAGAGAGAAGGAAGGTTTGTGGGGTGATGACCTCCCTGAGACACAATCTGGTCCGGTGGAGAAAAGCAGAAATAGGCGAACACTGGCCCTGGGTTTTAGTTAGATGCAACCTGAGGCCAAGCATCGGGGTGAGGGTGATCTGTGCCTCACAACTGCAGTGCGACTGGAAGTCTCACCTGGCCCTGCCGGGGGCCACCAGGAGTGTTTCCTGCCCAGGAACCCCTGACCAGTGTTGGCAGCTCTGCTTTGAGATGGGCCACGATTGACTGTCACAGGGCAGGAGACCTAAGAGGTTAAGAAAATGCACCCAAAGTTTGCCTAAATGGGTTAGGCAACATGGAGACCTTGACCACTCGCAGAGTGTGGGGGAGGAGAGGATGCTGGAGGGAGTATGTAGAAAGTTCTAGGTCAGGAATTAGGAGCAGCCAGAGAAGATAGGCATTTCCTAAAGCGGCTGTGGCTGGAGCTGAGTACAGAGGGAATGTGCCGGGTTGGAATTATTGAAAGACGGGATGGTCCAGACCATGGTTGGAGACTGAGAACAAGAACCTGGCCCAGCAGGGTCTGTGGCTCCTCCTCAGTAGAATTGGATCCTGCCCAGGTCATTGGCACCAGCAGAGTAAGATGCCAGCTCTCCCTAACACACACTTCCTGTCCTTGTGTCTGTCAGAGAACCCAAACTTTGGGGTGGCTCCTGAACAGGACGTGATCTGATGCACTTTGAACTTACAGATCAAAAGGCACCTGAGAACGTGCCCAAAGACTCTGGAGGAAAAGACATGGAGTTCCAGGCCCAAGTCTCCATCGGCCTGGTCTCTAGACTAAACTTCCATTTCCAGAAACTGTGCTGCGCCAATTCTGTGGACTCCAAACTCAACAGACCCTGCAGACCGTGTCCACAGACACAAACTCAACTGTCCGAGTGCTCCTTGAACACTAGCACAAACACCATTTCCATTGATGATTAAATTGGAAGCAGAAAATCTCATAGAGATTCCTGGGATGACACCTCAACACAGAAATCTTAGAAGAAACGTGTGTTTGAGTTCTTGGTCAAGCATCCAGATGTTTGCCGTCAATGAGTTTTGTTGTCTGGTTGTGTGCATGTGTGTGTCCACCCTGTTTTGTGCCTAAGGAAAGACTTAGTGGGCCACCCAGTTGTGTGCCAAAGGAAAGACTTAGTGGGCTGGAAGCTGCGGACTGTCTCCCCTCTCCCTGAGCCCAGCTGAACTGGCATCTTCCTTCTGCATTCTGTAGCATGTTTGGAAGATGAAATACTGGCACGGAGAGAGTTAATGCCTTCCTCTTGCTCAGAGCTCACCCAAGACTGCCTGCTGGCTCTCTCCTGGCAGGTGAAATCAGATGCTAATCCTGCCCTGAGAAGTGTGTTCAAACATTTGGGAGAGATCCCTGCGCCTCTTCCCGCTTCCTTGGGCCAAACCGAGCAGGACTCCGCCCTGTGACCAGCCCTTCCGCTAAAGTCTCTTTAGAAACTACAATCTTCCTTTTGTGTTTTCCTTAGTGTTTACTTGGATGGCTCAACTAAATTCACCTCAATTTGACTCCAACGTACAACTTTCCAACTTTCTTTCTGGAAAATTCTAAGTTGCATATTGAGTGTCTATGTATCTGAAGAGCCCATACCTGACACTATGATCTCCCACAGACACAGAGTAGATGAATTATCCAAGGGTTGGGCAGAGCTAGGGTAAGGGAGCTGAATGTGACAGACAAGGGCATGGAGTTTCTTTGGGGACAATAGATCTGAAGGTATCATGACAATGGACATGCAGATCAGAAGACAGAATACTGCTGAGTGGTGTGATTTTTGTGACTCTGCTATAGACTACGTGAGTTGCATCTCAATAAAGGTCTCCCCACCAAAGAATCACAAGCAAATGCTTAAAATATTTTCAAGAGGGTTAAAGAGAACAAGGGAGGAAAAGTTAGATTCCTTCTTTGGAAGCCTATTCAGGTTTTTCACTTCCTGGATTTGGGATTGTGGCCAATGGGACGAGAACATGATTTTGCAAAGTTTGGATTTCCTAGTCTCTAAGATGGAGGTGCGAGTCCTAACCGGAATTCCTTATGCAGTTGATAAAAGGACACACTGCATACTGTGTACAGAATATGCACATCCCTCCTACGGCATCCAAGGAATGAATTCACAAAGGTGAATGACTCTGTGAGTCCATCAGGACCAGCTTGCAGAGACCAACAAACACCAGAGCAGACCAGTGAGTGTGAAGTGAGCCTTTGCATGAGCCCAGGATGTGGGAGGGCTGGGGGGTGGGGGATGGGGGCTGTCACCATGGCCCCAGCGCAGCCCTATCATTTTCCTGCCATTCCTGTCCATTCTCACAGGTAGCAAAGCCTGTTTCTTGAAGAATCCCTGTAGTTTGGATTTGGCACCGGGACTCCCATGAATGAAGGAAAGAAGTCACATAGCCGCCCCCCAAGTGGCCAAGCAGGTTTCAGGAGCAGCACTGAGTAAGGTCAGAAACCGGCTTGGGCTCTTACCTGGTCTCAGAAACAAGAGCAACAGGAAGACCACGTCCTGGGGCTCCATGGTGGGCCTGGCCAGTCGGGTGCAGAAAGCTGAGGGCTCGGTCCCCAAATGGCCAGGACTCCCCGGGCCGAGGAGACACCCACCAACAGCACAGTCGTCTGTGGTTAATAATTGTCCTGCAGCCCGGGCCTTCGTGCTGGAAGAGATCAAACGTTACCTGTACCCGCACTTACAAAACCTGGAGAGCTTTCTCAGCAGGGATGCCAGGAAAGGCCGGGTAGTGGCGGGCAGTCCCCGCCCAAGGCCACCCCGGGCTACGTGCTGTCCTCCAGCACCTCTGCCAGGCCCGTCTCACCTCCCACTCTCTCGGACTTCCTTCTCTCCCTCTCATCCGCTTTATCCCCTGAAGATAAAGAAACCACCACAATTGCACTGTGGACCAAACACCTTTCAGCTTACACAATCTCTGCTAAATGGGAGTCAGAGTAAACCCTGAGCAACACTGGTATGACCTAACTAATTCCCGCCCCCCCCCCCAGAATTAATTAAAATATTTAAATGCTTCTTTTTTTTAGAGGATCTCAAAAGTTTATTTGATTTTTTTTTGTAGATTTACAACTTATTGTGTTTGGGTTTCGATTACACAATGATCAAATACCCATCCCTCCACCAGTGCCCATTTTCCACCACCATGGATAATATCCCCCCACCCCCATCCCCCCACCCCCATCCCCCCATCCCCTCATCCCCCCCCCCCCCGCCTCTGTGGCAGGGCAATCCCCTGTGTTCTCTCTCTCCTTTTGGGTGCTGTGGTCTGCAAAAGAGGTTTTGAGTGGCAAACATGTTCAGTCCCTAGTCTACTTTCAACATGCATCTCTCCTCCTGGGAGGATCCTCCAAACACCCTAGAATGCCCGGCTGGCCTCTAAGCTATGGAGTAATCCTCCTGGTGCTGATCTCAGCTATTCTTGGGTATTAATTTCATATTTTGTTACTTTATATTTCCCAGATGAATGCAGTCTTTCTATGTCTATCCCTCTCTTTCTGACTCATTTCGCTTAGCATGATATTTTCCATGTTGTACTACTTGTATATAAATTTCATGACTTCATCTTTTCTAACAGCTACATAGTACTCCATTGTGTGGATGTACCAAAGTTTCTTTAACCAGTCATCTGTTCTTGGGCACTCAGGTTTCTTCCAGTTTCTGGCTATTGTAAAGAGTGCTGCAATGAACAAACAAGTGCAGATGTCATTTCGACTATACATTTTTGCCTCTCTGGGATATATTCCCAGGAGTGGAATTCCTGGGTCAAATGGGAGCTCAATTTCTAATTTTTTGAGAATCGTCCATACTGTTTTCCAGAAGGGCTGAACCAGTCGACATTCCCACCAACAGTGAAGGAGTGTCCCTTTCTCGCCACATCCGCGCCAGCATCGGTTGCTTTTGTTCTTTTGGATGTGGGCCAGTCTCTGAGGTGTGAGATGGTATCTCATTGTGGTTTTGATCTGCATCTCTCTGATGATTAATGATGTAGAGCATTTTCTCATGTGCTTTTTTGCCATTTGGATTTCTCCTTTGAGAAAGTTTCTGTTCATTTCCTTGCCCCATTTTTTGATGGGGTTGGATGCTTTCTTTTTGTGGAGTTCAACCAGTATTTTGTATATCCTGGATATCAACCCCTTGTCAGATGTGTATTCGGCGAATATCCTTTCCCATTCCGTAAACTGTCTTTGTATTTTGGTCACTGTTTCTTTTGAGGTGCAGAAGCTTCTTAGTTTAATATAGTCCCATTTATCTATCTCTGTTTTCACTTGCTTAGCCAGTGGCATGGCATCTTTGAAGATACCATTAGCTTCAATGTCATGGAGGGTTTTGCCAACTTTGTCTTCAATGTACCTTACGGTTTCTGGTCTGATGTTGAGGTCTTTAATCCATTTTGATCTTTTGTACATGGTGTTAGGCAGAGTTCTGAGCCCATTTTTTTTGCATGTAGCCGTCCAGTGATGCCAGCACAATTTGTTAAAGAGGCTTTCCTTACTCCACTTCACATTACTTGCACCTTTATCAAAGATTAGATGATCATATGCTTGAGGGGAGATGTCAGTGTATTCAACCCTGTTCCATTGGTCTGCAGTTCTGCCTTTGTTCCAGTACCATGCTGTTTTAATTATTACTGCTTTGTAGTACAGTTTGAAGTTAGGGAGGTTGATTCCTCCCATTTTCTTTTTCCCAAGAATTGCTTTAGCTATTCGTGGGGGCTTATTGTTCCATATAAATTTCAGGAGTGTTTGCTCCATTTCTTTGAAGAATGTCATGGGTATCCTTATAGGGATTGCATTGAATTTATACAATGCTTTCGGTAGTATTGCCATTTTGACAATATTAAGCCACACGGGTTCCGAGGCCGAGATCTCCAAGCCTACTCGAATTGGAGTCGAGCATCCTCCACCCAGATCCTCCAAGTTCCAGTAGGCGGGGGTCACACCCACCACCTGGCCCCCTGGCGCCGTGTAATCCCATCAACAGCCAAGACTCAGAGACTATAAAGTCCAGCCCCCGGACGAGACCAGTGCAGTCTCCTGCCCCTGCGCCTGGCTGTTCCTCGCCGGGGTCCCTTGGAGGGGAGCAGGTTGAGCTTTCCTCCCCTCCCCGACCACGGCTCCAGCAGCCGAAGACCTCCAGGACCAGCCATCACCATGCTGAGACCACTCTCCACACACATTAAGGTATTGGCAGAGGGACAAAGCCACGCGGGTTCCGAGGCCGAGATCTCCAAGCCTACTCAAATTGGAGTCGAGCATCCTCCACCCAGATCCTCCAAGTTCCAGTAGGCGGGGGTCACACCCACCACCTGGCCCCCTGGCGCCGTGTAATCCCATCAATGGCCAAGACTCAGAGACTATAAAATCCAGCCCCCGGACATCTTATCAGGACATCTTTTTATGGCATCTTATTATCTCATTCCTACTTTGGACAAACTTGCAGGCTATCAAATGTAGCCTGCCCACAGGGCAGAGTCTGGCAAACTCCCCATGGCTTACCAAATATGCCAAATACCAGTAACAATGATGGGTCTCATTCTCCTAAAGAGCCTTGAATATAATCTCAGGGCTAGGATGAAAGAGACGTTACTGGGGCCTGCTCGAGGCAATCGATGAATAACAGGATGATGTATGAATGAATGAATGAAGTCTCCCGACCCATGAGCAGGAGATATCGTTCCATTTCCTCATGTCCTCTTTTATTTCCTGAAGTAGCATTTTGTAGTTTTCTTTGTACAGGTCCTTTACTTCCTTAGTTAAGCTGATTCCTAGGTACTTGATTTTCTGGGGCACAATTGTGAACGGGATTGTTTTTTTCATGTAGCTTTCTTCTCTCTCACCGTTTGCATATAGGAAAGCCATAGACTTTTGGGTATTGATTTTATAGCCTGAAACTTTACTATACAAGTCTATTGTTTCTAGGAGTTTTTTGGTGGAGGTTATTGGGTTCTCTAAGTATAGTATCATATCATCTGCGAATAGTGAGAACTTGATTTCTTCCTTTCCTACCTAAATGCCCTTAATATCTTTTTCTTGCCTAATCGCCATTGCAAGTATTTCCAGTACTATATTGAACAGTAGTGGAGATAGTGGGCATCCTTGTCTCGTCCCTGATCTTAGAGGGAAGGCTCTCAGTTTTTCCCCATTGAGGATGATGCTTGCTGTAGGCTTGTGATAGATGGCTTTAACTATGTTGAGGAAAGTCCCCTCTATACCCATTTTGGCCAGGGTTTTCATCATAAAGGGGTGCAAATGCTTTCGTTTTTTAAATTGTATTGAATCACCGTGAGATAGTTACAAGCTTTCATGTCTGGGTTACAATCACACAATGATCAAACACTCATCCCTCCACCAGTGCAATTCCCCCCCAGAATTAATTAAAATAAAATATTTTAATGCTTTCTTTTTTTAATGTTATTGAATCACCAAGAGATAGTTACAAACTTTCATGTTTGGGTTAGAATCACACAATGATCAAACACCTCTCCCTCCACCAGTGCACATTCCCCACCACCAATATCCCCGGTACACCCCCCCTTTCCCACCCTCCCCCTGCCTCCATTATTTTCCACAATATCTTCTCTACTTTTTTTTTTACAGTTGTAGACTTACAAATTTTTGTGCTTGGGTTTCAATTATACAATGATCAAATACCCATTCCTCCACCAATGCCCATTTCCCACCACCACGGGTCCCTGTATCCCTCCCACCCTCCATTACCCCCCATCCCACCCTGCCTCTGTGGCAGGGCATTCCCTTTTGTTCTCTCTCTCTTATTGAGTGTTGTGGTTTGCAAAAGAGGCAATGGGTGACAATCATGTTTGGTCTATAGTCCACCCTCAGCATGCTTCTCCAATCCTGGGAGGATCCTCTCAACACCCTTTATTTGGTATTCCCTTCTCTATCTGTCTCTCTCTACTTTTGGACATTATGGTTTACAATACAGACCCTGAGAGGTTATCATGTTTGTTCCTTTATCTACTTTCAGCACACATCTCCCATCCCGACTGATTCCTCCAGCCATCTTTTTCTTAGTGATCCCTTCTCTAGTCCAGCTGCCTTCTCCCCTTTGCTCATGAGGCAGGCTTCCAGCTATGGACCAATCTTCCTGTCCCATGTATTGACTATCCTTAGGTGTCAGCCTCATGTTATGTTGTTTTATACTCCACAAATGAGTGACATATAATGCTTTCTATATGTCTTGTCTCTTCCAAACGCAGTGAAGAAAGAAGTTTGTCATCTTTCTCGGGCCAGCTGGTGCTGACAGACTCCAACCACCTTGAACCCTGTCCCAGGACCAACCTGGCAGCTACTTGGTCTCAGGTGCCACCACTTCCATGTGTCACCCAAGGGCACACAGACCAGAGCCAGGCCCCAGTTCAACCTTGAAAGCATCCAAGAAGTCTTCAGGGGTATATATGGCTCTTAGAAATCAGTAGAATCTTAGGCACCAGCTAGATATTGTTAGTGGGAGCATGAGGTTGCTGGTCTGAGCATCTGGAGCTCAGAGGTCTACCCTTAGTTCCTAAGAAGCAACTATAATTTTTTTTCTTTTTTAGGTCATACCCGCAATGCTCAGGGGTTACTCCCAGCTCTGTAC